TGCATTCAACTTTCAGTTAGTTCAAGACTGATTGTATTTATCCTCCCCAGGGGATGATGTAATCTGTTCTGTTTGTTTCTCTGTCTGTCTGTTTGTTAGCTGTCCAGCATTCACAGTTTTTAAGATACGTTTACATTTTGTGTGACGGTAGATACCAATAACAGATTTAATTTGGGTAAAAAATCCAGTCAATGTGACATCAAATGTGAAAATCAGTAAAAACTTTATATTCTCCACATTTGTTATGGATAGTCTTCAAATTTTCCAACAACAAACTAGGCTTTTGGAGACATGAGTACCTAGGTTAGCTGAGCATTTGAGGACATTTTAATATAAAAAAGATATAAAACATCAAAGTTTTAGTATAGGCCTCACTCGCTGTGGGGAATTGCACTCTTTGAGTGCTCTTATTACACCTGTAACTGTACTTTGTGTTTAGTGTTACTTGGGTGCAGTTATGATAATGTAGTGATTACCTTGCATTGCAAGTTTGAACAACAGTTGGCCCACAAGGCTTGTAGACTTTATTGTCTGGGCATTTATATTCTACAAGAAACAAATATGTATTTAAGATGAAAATGGGTAGAAAACATCTAAAACATTATGGTTAAAAAAAAAAACTAAGAAAAAAAGCTCTGTCTTACCACACACTCCTTTAGTAGCATTCCTCCAGTCTACACAGATAGATGCCTCAGCACACATCAAGTTGTATGCCTCAATACTGCTGCATCCCATATTAACAGTTGTGTAGCAAACATCAAATTTACAGGCTTCATAAAATGGTTGTACACTTATTACTTTGTGGCATTCCTTGAATACCCTTAAAACACAATGTCAAATAAAGAAGATTACTCCAGTGGTCTCACTGATGGAACTAACATGTGTTTATATTTTAAATTCGTACTCGCTGTTTAGGATTTCACAAAGTGAGCTGTTGTCGCATTTTGGAGGTGGAGTTGGAGTTGGAGGTGGAGGTGGAGGCCCATTGCAGTATGGCGTATTGTTGACAGATACACGCCAATCATATGCCATGTCAGAGCATGATGGAGAAATCTGACCATTTTTCAGTCTGCAGTCATTTTTTGTGTTATTGTCACAGGTACCTTGCGAAAAGAAATGTTAACATTACACAGATTACAGCCAAACACAGGGACAAACTGACTATCAGCCTGTATATGAGCCTGGCATTCTTTACTAAGCGATACAGTAGCCCATGTTTTAATCATATGGGCTACAAACAGCACCGTCACAAGTTCAATAAAACTGCAACTGTTAATGCAGAAGAGAATGTTATATCAATCACAGATCGTGAAGGAAAATTTGACTTGTAAATATAGGTTTTTAATTAGAACATAGACTTATTTCTAGCATTATTTACTACCATATTATGCTCATTTAACTTTCACAATCAATACTTTAAGACATTCAACTATTAGCTTACCACACTGTCCTTCTGTGTTGCCATAGAAAAGAGTCATTGGTACATCTACGCTGAATAAAAGACCTTTGAACATCACAACTGCTTCAATTTCTGGGATTGTTAACCGCATCTCAATTCCTTGATTTGTGATGGTCATGTCATTATTTGTAAACATAGTAGTGACAAGACTGCCGTTGACATATACCTAAGGAATTTTAGCATTAATTACTATTAGTGAAATATCTCAATGGTGCTGCATAATATTTAAATATATTATAATGTCAGTAATTTTAAGACACTTTGTCTAAGTGATACCCACCTTGTTCACAGTCTTTGCTCCTCTCTCCTGTGTGAGAATAACTGTATAGTTTTTGTAATACACAATAAGGGATTTAGGACAGGTCACAGTTCCAGTGGGATTACAGTTTACATTTTCAATATAAACTTTAAAATTGTGTCGAGGTGTGATCTCTTTAACCAGGACATAAGTGCAATTTTTTTGGAAGCTGTAGTATTGTCCATCAAATGTCACATAATGAGGATCTCCCCAGCCACCACAAACACCTGCAAATATTAGATTGAGATTGCATCAAAACAAAAAATATTTTTTTAATTTACTTACATGTTTAGCAGCTTTGATATGTGGAATTTTAAAAGGGTTTTACTGAAACTTACATTTGCATTCATAGTGGAAACAACAGCCATTTTCATCATAAACTTTAACTGGTGTTTGCCTATTCTCACAAACAATATCTTTTACATTACATTGCACATGTGTTGTAATGTGTTGACCATTTTGACATGTTTCTGTGGTGCAGTTGTTTGAATGCCAGGTTTCACCATTCTGATGAGAGAAAAACAGTGCTTTTAGCAATGAATTACACATGAGTTACATTATATTTTAGCCTAAAAGAGGCATACACACTGATACACACTATAAATCACGTTGGATGTATTAAATTTAACACTTATCTGTATGTCCACAAATGTTGCAGAGACTGTTTACAAAATTAATTTGCTGTAAACTTTCAGTAAGAACTTTCAGTAACACAGAGAAATGCAACCACAGTGGAATTGCTAGCAAAGCTGTTACATTGCATAAAATTATAAATTTGACCTTGTTTCATATTTCAGCCTAAATAACTTAGTAAAGACAGCAGTGGATTTTTTTCTTCACCAACATATTTTAATTCAAATACCTTTCTAGGTGGATTGAGAAAGAGGCAGCCTGGGATTTCTGGAGTTACTGAAGTTACTGGAGTGCGAGGGCTCGTTATGGGAATAGATGAAGTTGGTGGAGTTGTAAAGTTACATGTCTGGGAACGGATTTCAGTACCACATGATGAATTGCAATATGCAGTGTAACACCAGCCTTTTCCATCAGTCCAATTGTACATGACATTACCTATGTGACAATAAGAACTGAGTTAGAGCTAAATAACTAATAATGGATTATAAAATGTACAGTTGTTAACATTGTGAGTTGGCCACACTGGCAACAGAGTTGATTATTAGATTTTCCTGTGGCCACTTCAAGTTTCTGCAAAAAAAGTTAATTATTCCTCAATGGACGTGGATAAATAAAACTATCTTTTTAAACACTTTATGAAAAAAAGTTTTATAAAAAGGAAAGGCAAAATAAGAAACTAAAGTTTAATAACTAAATAATTATTGCATGGACAACAACGAGGAAAGAAGCAAAAAACTTACCAGCATAAAATGAATGATCCTGGTATTTACACAGACATTGGGTTTGATTTCCTGTTATTGGTGATGTTTTTACCGCTGTATTTGTAATTATTTTAGGGTTGTTGTGGGCGGTGTTCCTGTGGTTGTAGTAGTGGAGGGTGAAGCTGTTGTGGTTTTTGTAGGCGGTGTTCCTGTGGTTGTTGTTGTGGGTGGTGTTCCTGTGGTGGTTGTTGTGGGAGGTGAAAATGTGGTTGTTGTTGTGGGAGGTGTTCTTGTGGTGGTTGTTGTGGGAGGCGTCCCTGTTGTTGTTGTTGTGGGAAGTGATCCTGTGGTTGTTGTTGTGGGAGGTGAAAATGTGGTGGTTGTTGTGGGAGTTGTTCCAGTGGTTGTTGTTGTGGGAGGCGATCCTGTGGTAGTTGTTGTGGGCGGTGAAATTGTACTTGTTGTTGTGGGAGGTGAAAATGTAGTTGTTGTTGTGGGAGGTGTTCCTGTTGTGGTTGTTGTGGGCGTTGTTCCAGTGGTTGTTGTTGTGGGACGTGTTCTTGTGGTGGTTGTTGTGGGAGGCGATCCTGTCGTTGTTGTTGTAGGCGGTGAAATTGTAGTTGTTGTTGTGGGAGGTGAAAATGTGGTGGTTGTTTTGGGAGGTGTTGCTGTTGTGGTTGTTGTGGGAGGTGTTCCTGTGGTTGTTGTTGTGGGAGGTGAACCTGTTGTGGTTGTTGTGGGAGGTGAAAATGTAGTTGTTGTTGTTGTGGGAGGTGTTCCTGTCGTTGTTGTTGTGGGCGGTGAAAATGTAGTTGTTGTTGTGGGAGGTGTTCCTGTTGTGGTTGTTGTGGGCGTTGTTCCAGTCGTTGTTGTTGTGGGAGGTGAACCTGTTGTGGTTGTTGTGGGCATTGTTCCAGTTGTTGTTGTTGTCGGAGGTGAAAATGTAGTTGTTGTTGTGGGTGGTGTTCCTGTGGTTGTTGTTGTGGGAGGTGTTCCTGTTGTGGTTGTTGTTGGCGGTGTTCCAGTTGTGGTTGTTGTGGGAGGTGTCCCTGTGGTTGTTGTAGTGGGAGGTGAACCTGTTGTGGTTGTTGTGGGAGGTGTTCCTGTGGTTGTTGTAGTGGGAGGTGAACCTGTTGTGGTTGTTGCGGGAGGTGTTCCAGTGGTTGTTGTTGTGAGCGGTGTTCCTGTTGTGGTTGTTGTTGTGGGAGGTGTTCCTGTTGTTGTTGTTGTGGGAGGTGAACCTGTTGTGGTTGTTGTGGGAGGTGTTCCTGTGGTTGTTGAAGTGGGAGGTGAACCTGTTGTGGTTGTTGTGGGAGGTGTTCCAGTGGTTGTTGTTGTGGGAGGTGGTCCTGTGGTTGTTGTTGTTGGAGGTGTTCCTGTGGTTGTTGTTGTGGGTGGTGTTCCAGTGGTTGTTGTTGTGGGAGGTGAACCTGTGGTTGTTGTTGTGGGAGGTGAAATTGTAGTTGTTGTTGTGGGAGGTGAAAATGTAGTTGTTGTTGTGGGAGGTGTTCCTGTGGTTGTTGTTGTGGGAGGTGAAAATGTAGTTGTTGTTGTGGGAGGTGTTCCTGTGGTTGTTGTTGTTGGAGGTGTTCTTGTGGTTGTTGTTGTGGGTGGTGTTCCAGTGGTTGTTGTTGTGGGCGGTGAAAATTGTACTTGTTGTTGTGGGAGGTGTTCCTGTTGTGGTTGTTGTGGGCGGTGTTCCTGTGGTGGTTGTAGTGGGAGGTGTTCCTGTTGTGGTTGTTGTGGGCGTTGTTCCAGTTGTGGTTGTTGTGGGAGGTGTTCCTGTCGTTGTTGTTGTGGGAGGTGAAAATGTAGTTGTTGTTGTGGGCGGTGTTCCTGTGGTTGTTGTTGTGGGAGGTGTTCCTGTTGTGGTTGTTGTGGGAGGTGTTCCTGTGGTTGTTTTTTTTGTGGATACAGTGGTTGTTGTGGTAGGCTCACAAGTATAACGGCAACATAAAGCTCGTATTTCATAGTCATTACATTTTGGAGGAAAACCTTGGTCTTTGTTATGACAGATAAGTCCATCTTTTTGGTCACATACTAAAGTTTGACCTAAGTCTTCTAGCGACATATCTGGGAAATCTTTAGCTCTGCATTGTATCTTCAGCGGTTTTTTGCACACACTCAGGTCCAGATCAGTAATGTTAGCGATGGATTCATAATCTCCACCATCTGGAGTACTAGTGGGATAATTCTTATTACTCCAGGATGACCATGTACACTCGTAGTCATTGCAAGGTGTTGTAGTGGTTGTTTCTGTGGTTGTCGTGGGAGATGTTTCTGTGGTTGTTGTGGGAGGTGTTCCTGTTGTGGTTGTTGTGGGCGGTGTTCCAGTGGTTGTTGTTGTGGGAGGTGTTCCTGTGGTAGTTGTTGTGGGAGGTGTTCCTGTGGTGGTTGTTGTGGGAGGTGAAATTGTAGTTGTTGTTGTGGGAGGTGTTCCTGTGGTTGTTGTTGTGGGAGGTGAAAATGTAGTTGTTGTAGTGGGAGGTGTTCCTGTGGTTGTTGTTGTTGGAGGTGTTCCTGTGGTTGTTGTTGTGGGTGGTGTTCCAGTGGTTGTTGTTGTGGGAGGTGAACCTGTGGTTGTTGTTGTGGGAGGTGAAATTGTAGTTGTTGTTGTGGGAGGTGAAAATGTAGTTGTTGTTGTGGGAGGTGTTCCTGTGGTTGTTGTTGTGGGAGGTGAAAATGTAGTTGTTGTTGTGGGAGGTGTTCCTGTGGTTGTTGTTGTTGGAGTGTTCTTGTGGTTGTTGTTGTGGGTGGTGTTCCAGTGGTTGTTGTTGTGGGAGGTGAAAATGTAGTTGTTGTTGTGGGAGGTGTTCCTGTTGTGGTTGTTGTGGGCGTTGTTCCAGTGGTGGTTGTTGTGGGAGGTGTTCCTGTTGTGGTTGTTGTTGGCGGTGTTCCAGTTGTGGTTGTTGTGGGCGGTGTTCCAGTTGTGGTTGTTGTGGGAGGTGTTCCTGTGGTTGTTTTTTTTGTGGATACAGTTGTTGTTGTGGTAGACACACAAGTATAACGGCAACATAAAGCTCGTATTTCATAGTCATTACATTTTGGAGGAAAACCTTGGTCTTTGTTATGACAGATAAGTCCATCTTTTTGGTCACATACTAAAGTTTGACCTAAGTCTTCGAGCGACATATCTGGGAAATCTTTAGCTCTGCATTGTATCTTCAGCGGTTTTTTGCACACACTCAGGTCCAGATCAGTAATGTTAGCGATGGATTCATAATCTCCACCATCTGGGGTACTAGTGGGATAATTCTTATTACTCCAGGGTGACCATATACACTCGTAGTCATTGCAAGGTGTGTAGTGGTTGTTTCTGTGGTTGTCGTGGGAGATGTTTCTGTGGTTGTTGTGGGAGGTGTTCCTGTTGTGGTTGTTGTGGGCGGTGTTCCAGTGGTTGTTGTTGTGGGAGGTGTTCCTGTGGTAGTTGTTGTGGGAGGTGTTCCTGTGGTGGTTGTGTGGGAGGTGAAATTGTAGTTGTTGTTGTGGGAGGTGTTCCTGTGGTTGTTGTTGTGGGAGGTGAAAATGTAGTTGTTGTAGTGGGAGGTGTTCCTGTGGTTGTTGTTGTTGGAGGTGTTCCTGTGGTTGTTGTTGTGGGTGGTGTTCCAGTGGTTGTTGTTGTGGGAGGTGAACCTGTGGTTGTTGTTGTGGGAGGTGAAAATGTAGTTGTTGTTGTTGGAGGTGAAAATGTAGTTGTTGTTGTGGGCGGTGTTCCTGTGGTTGTTGTTGTGGGAGGTGAAAATGTGGTGGTTGTTGTGGGAGGTGTTCCTGTGGTTGTTGTTGTTGGAGGTGTTCTTGTGGTTGTTGTTGTGGGTGGTGTTCCTGTGGTTGTTGTTGTGGGAGGTGAAAATGTAGTTGTTGTTGTGGGAGGTGTTCCTGTTGTGGTTGTTGTGGGCGTTGTTCCAGTGGTGGTTGTAGTGGGAGGTGTTCCTGTTGTGGTTGTTGTGGGCGGTTCCAGTGGTCGTTGTTGTGGGAGGTGTTCCTGTTGTGGTTGTTGTGGGAGGTGTTCCTGTGGTTGTTTTTTTGTGGATACAGTTGTTGTTGTGGTAGACACACAAGTATAACGGCAACATAAAGCTCGTATTTCATAGTCATTACATTTTGGAGGAAAACCTTGGTCTTTGTTATGACAGATAATCCATCTTGTTGGTCACATACTAAAGTTTGACCTAAGTCTTCCAGCGACATATCTGGGAAATCTTTAGCTCTACATTGTATCTTCACAGGTTTTGTGCACACACTCAGGTCCAGATCAGTAATGTTAGCGATGGATTCATAATCTCCACCATCTGGGGTACTAGTGGGATAATTCTTATTACTCCAGGGTGACCATATACACTCGTAGTCATTGCAAGGTGTTGTAGTGGTTGTTTCTGTGGTTGTTGTTGTGGGAGGTGTTCCTGTGGTTGTTGTTGTGGGAGGTGTTCCTGTGGTTGTTGTTGTGGGAGGTGAAAATGTAGTTGTTGTTGTGGGAGGTGTTCCTGTTGTGGTTGTTGTGGGCGGTGTTCCTGTTGTGGTTGTTGTGGGAGGTGTTCCTGTGGTTGTTTTTTTGTGGATACAGTTGTTGTTGTGGTAGACACACAAGTATAACGGCAACATAAAGCTCGTATTCATAGTCATTACATTTTGGAGGAAAACTTGGTCTTTGTTATGACAGATAAGTCCATCTTGTTGGTCACATACTAAAGTTGACCTAAGTCTTCCAGCGACATATCTGGGAAATCTTTAGCTCTACATTGTATCTTCACAGGTTTTGTGCACACACTCAGGTCCAGATCAGTAATGTTAGCGATGGATTCATAATCTCCACCATCTGGAGTACTAGTGGGATAATTCTTATTACTCCAGGATGACCATGTACACTCGTAGTCATTGCAAGGTGTTGTAGTGGTTGTTTCTGTGGTTGTCGTGGGAGATGTTTCTGTGGTTGTTGTGGGAGGTGTTCCTGTTGTGGTTGTTGTGGGCGGTGTTCCAGTGGTTGTTGTTGTGGGAGGTGTTCCTGTGGTAGTTGTTGTGGGAGGTGTTCCTGTGGTGTTGTTGTGGGAGGTGAAATTGTAGTTGTTGTTGTGGGAGGCGATCCTGTGGTTGTTGTTGTGGGAGGTGAAAATGTGGTGGTTGTTGTGGGAGGTGTTCCTGTTGTTGTTGTTGTTGGAGGTGTTCCTGTGGTTGTTGTTGTGGGTGGTGTTCCAGTGGTTGTTGTTGTGGGAGGTGAACCTGTGGTTGTTGTTGTGGGAGGTGAAATTGTAGTTGTTGTTGTGGGAGGTGAAAATGTAGTTGTTGTTGTGGGAGGTGTTCCTGTGGTTGTTGTTGTGGGAGGTGAAATGTAGTTGTTGTTGTGGGAGGTGTTCCTGTGGTTGTTGTTGTTGGAGGTGTTCTTGTGGTTGTTGTTGTGGGTGGTGTTCCAGTGGTTGTTGTTGTGGGAGGTGAAAATGTAGTTGTTGTTGGGAGGTGTTCCTGTTGTGGTTGTTGTGGGAGGTGTTCCTGTGGTGGTTGTAGTGGGAGGTGTTCCTGTTGTGGTTGTTGTGGGCGGTGTTCCAGTGGTCGTTGTTGTGGGAGGTGTTCCTGTTGTGGTTGTTGTGGGAGGTGTTCCTGTGGTTGTTTTTTTTGTGGATACAGTTGTTGTTGTGGTAGACACACAAGTATAACGGCAACATAAAGCTCGTATTTCATAGTCATTACATTTTGGAGGAAAACCTTGGTCTTTGTTATGACAGATAAGTCCATCTTGTGGTCACATACTAAAGTTTGACCTAAGTCTTCCAGCGACATATCTGGGAAATCTTTAGCTCTGCATTGTATCTTCAGTGGTTTTGTGCACACACTCAGGTCCAGATCAGTAATGTTAGCGATGGATTCATAATCTCCACCATCTGGGGTACTAGTGGGATAATTCTTATTACTCCAGGATGACCATGTACACTCGTAGTCATTGCAAGTGTTGTAGTGGTTGTTTCTGTGGTTGTTGTGGGCGGTGTTCCTGTGGTTGTTGTTGTGGGAGTGTTCCTGTGGTTGTTGTTGTTGGAGGTGAAAATGTAGTTGTTGTTGTGGGCGGTGTTCCTGTGGTTGTTGTTGTGGAGGTGTTCCTGTTGTGGTTGTTGTGGGAGGTGTTCCTGTGGTTGTTTTTTTTGTGGATACAGTGGTTGTTGTGGTAGGCTCACAAGTATAACGGCAACATAAAGCTCGTATTTCATAGTCATTACATTTTGGAGGAAAACCTTGGTCTTTGTTATGACAGATAAGTCCATCTTTTTGGTCACATACTAAAGTTTGACCTAAGTCTTCTAGCGACATATCTGGGAAATCTTTAGCTCTGCATTGTATCTTCAGCGGTTTTGTGCACACACTCAGGTCCAGATCAGTAATGTTAGCGATGGATTCATAATCTCCACCATCTGGGGTACTAGTGGGATAATTCTTATTACTCCAGGGTGACCATATACACTCGTAGTCATTGCAAGGTGTTGTAGTGGTTGTTTCTGTGGTTGTTGTTGTGGGAGGTGTTCCTGTGGTTGTTGTTGTGGGAGGTGTTCCTGTGGTGGTTGTTGTGGGAGGCGATCCTGTCGCTGTTGTTGTGGGAGGTGTCCCTGTTGTGGTTGTTGTGGGAGGTGAAAATGTAGTTGTTGTTGTGGGAGGTGAAAATGTAGTTGTTGTTGTGGGAGGTGTTCCTGTGGTTGTTGTTGTGGGAGGTGAAAATGTAGTTGTTGTAGTGGGAGGTGTTCCTTGGTTGTTGTTGTTGGAGGTGTTCTGTGGTTGTTGTTGTGGGTGGTGTTCCAGTGGTTGTTGTTGTGGGAGGTGAACCTGTTGTGGTTGTTGTGGGAGGTGAAAATGTAGTTGTTGTTGTGGGAGGTGTTCCTGTGGTTGTTGTTGTGGGCGGTGAAAATGTAGTTGTTGTTGTGGGAGGTGTTCCTGTGGTTGTTGTTGTTGGAGGTGTTCCTGTGGTTGTTGTTGTGGGAGGTGTTCCTGTGGTTGTTGTTGTGGGAGGTGAAAATGTAGTTGTTGTTGTGGGAGGTGTTCCTGTTGTGGTTGTTGTGGGCGTTGTTCCAGTGGTTGTTGTTGTGGGAGGTGTTCCTGTTGTGGTTGTTGTGGCGGTGTTCCAGTGGTCGTTGTTGTGGGAGGTGTTCCTGTGTGGTTGTTGTGGGAGGTGAACCTGTGGTTGTTTTTTTTGTGGATACAGTTGTTGTTGTGGTAGACACACAAGTATAACGGCAACATAAAGCTCGTATTTCATAGTCATTACATTTTGGAGGAAAACCTTGGTCTTTGTTATGACAGATAAGTCCATCTTTTTGGTCACATACTAAAGTTTGACCTAAGTCTTCCAGCGACATATCTGGGAAATCTTTAGCTCTGCATTGTATCTTCAGAGGTTTTGTGCACACACTCAGGTCCAGATCAGTAATGTTAGCGATGGATTCATAATCTCCACCATCCGGAGTACTACTGGGATAATTCTTGTTGATCCAGGATGACCATGTACACTCGTAGTCATTGCAAGGTGTTGTAGTGGTTGTTTCTGTGGTTGTCGTGGGAGATGTTTCTGTGGTTGTTGTGGAGGTGTTCCTGTTGTGGTTGTTGTGGGCGGTGTTCCAGTGGTTGTTGTTGTGGGAGGTGTTCCTGTGGTAGTTGTTGTGGGAGTGTTCCTGTGGTGGTTGTTGTGGGAGGTGTTCCTGTGGTGGTTGTTGTGGGAAGTGTCCCTGTGGTCGTTGTTGTGGGAGGCGATCCTGTGGTTGTTGTTGTGGGAGGTGAAAATGTGGTGGTTGTTGTGAGAGGTGTTCCTGTGGTTGTTGTTGTGGGAGGTGTTCCTGTGGTTGTTGTTGTGGAGTGTTCTGTGGTGGTTGTTGTGGGAGGCGATCCTGTCGCTGTTGTTGTGGGAGGTGTCCCTGTTGTGGTTGTTGTGGGCGGTGAAATTGTAGTTGTTGTTGTTGGAGGTGAAAATGTGGTTGTTGTTGTGGGAAGTGATCCTGTGGTTGTTGTTGTGGGAGGTGAAAATGTGGTGGTTGTTGTGGGAGGTGTTCCTGTGGTTGTTGTTGTGGGAGGTGTTCCTGTTGTGGTTGTTGTGGGCATTGTTCCTGTGGTTGTTGTTGTGGGAGGTGAAAATGTAGTTGTTGTGGTGGGAGGTGTTCCTGTTGTGGTTGTTGTGGGCGTTGTTCCAGTGGTTGTTGTTGTTGTGGGAGGTGTTCCTGTTGTGGTTGTTGTTGGCGTTGTTCCAGTTGTGGTTGTTGTGGGAGGTGTTCCTGTGGTTGTTGTTGTGGGAGGTGTTCCCGTTGTGGTTGTTGTTGGCGGTGTTCCAGTTGTGGTTGTTGTGGGAGGTGTTCCTGTGGTTGTTGTTGTGGGAGGTGATCCTGTAGTTGTTGTAGTGGGAGGTGAACCTGTTGTCGTTGTTGTGGGAGTTGTTCCTGTGGTTGTTGTTGTGGGAAGTGATCCTGTGGTTGTTGTTGTGGGAGGTGAAAATGTGGTGGTTGTTGTGGGAGGTGTTCCTGTGGTTGTTGTTGTTGTAGATACAGTGGTTGTTGTGGTAGGCTCACAAGTATAACGGCAACATAAAGCTCGTATTTCATAGTCATTACATTTTGGAGGAAAACCTTGGTCTTTGTTATGACAGATAAGTCCATCTTGTTGGTCACATACTAAAGTTTGACCTAAGTCTTCTAGCGACATATCTGGGAATCTTTAGCTCTACATTGTATCTTCAGAGGTTTTTTGCACACACTCAGGTCCAGATCAGTAATGTTAGCGATGGATTCATAATCTCCACCATCTGGAGTACTAGTGGGATAATTCTTATTGATCCAGGATGACCATGTACACTCGTAGTCATTGCAAGGTGTTGTAGTGGTTGTTTCTGTGGTTGTCGTGGGAGATGTTTCTGTGGTTGTTGTGGAGGTGTTCCTGTTGTGGTTGTTGTGGGCGTTGTTCCAGTGGTTGTTGTTGTGGGAGGTGTTCCTGTGGTTGTTGTTGTGGGAGGTGTTCCCGTTGTGGTTGTTGTGGGAGGTGTTCCTGTGGTGGTTGTTGTGGGAAGTGTCCCTGTGGTCGTTGTTGTGGGAGGCGATCCTGTGGTTGTTGTTGTGGGAGGTGAAAATGTAGTTGTTGTTGTGAGCGGTGTTCCTGTGGTTGTTGTTGTGGGAGGTGTTCCTGTAGTTGTTGTAGTAGGAGGTGAACCTGTTGTCGTTGTTGTGGGAGTTGTTCCTGTGGTGGTTGTTGTGGGAGGTGATCCTGTGGTTGTTGTTGTGGGAGGTGAAAATGTGGTGGTTGTTGTGGGAGGTGTTCCTGTTGTTGTTGTTGTTGTGGATACAGTTGTTGTTGTGGTAGACACACAAATATAACGGCAACATAAAGCGCGTATTTCATAGTCATTGCATTTTGGAGGAAAACCTTGGTCTTTGTTATGACAGATAAGTCCATCTTTTTGGTCACATACTAAAGTTTGACCTAAGTCTTCTAGCGACATATCTGGGAAATCTTTAGCTCTGCATTGTATCTTCAGAGGTTTTTTGCACACACTCAGGTCCAGATCAGTAATGTTAGCGATGGATTCATAATCTCCACCATCTGGAGTACTACTGGGATAATTCTTATTGATCCAGGATGACCATGTACACTCGTAGTCATTGCAAGGTGTTGTAGTGGTTGTTTCTGTGGTTGTCGTGGGAGGTGTTTCTGTGGTTGTTGTGGGAGGTGTTCCTGTGGTGGTTGTTGTGGGAGGTGAAAATGTGGTTGTTGTTGTTTCTGTGACTATGGTTGTAGTTGGTAGAGACGTTGTCGATGTTCGTAATGGTGTTGTTTTAGACCATGGAGAAGTTATTCGTGTTGTGGGAGTTAAAATTGTTGTGACAGCCTCTGTTATAACAGTAGAAGTCGTTTGAAATGTTTCTGTAGTGGGCCTCTCTGTTGTTGTTACTGGGAGTGTAGAAAAAATACAACATTTAGTTATACTTTTGTTTTTGCTAGAGTTAAATAAAAAATATTAAAAGAATTAAATCTTACCTGTAGAAGTGAAAGTAAAGGGTGTTGGAGATATAGTTGTAGTTGTACAAGGCTCTATTATTCTTGTAATATTTCCATCACAAATAGCAGAGAAACAGGTTCCATTTCCATCATGCGTCATATAGAATTTGAACCCTTTGTCGTAATATTTCCCTTCATCATCATAACATCCACATGTATCAACACATTTCATGGTTTCTTCTTCCAAATAAGGCCTTTCAGGTGGGCAAGTTGGATAGCAGCCTTAAGAATTGAGACATCACTGTAAATTTTCAAACCTCACACAAAATAGGTGCATGCATGAAATCTAGCCTAACTATTTTGAACAACTCTGAGAAGTGGAAATAAAACAATAGGTAACGCCACAGTACAAAGTATTATGCTTTTCACAGTGGATTCCCATGCTGTGACTGCTCTGAACACAATTAAAAAAAAAAAATCCTTATTCTTTCTTCCTTACTCTCTGAATTGCATGCTGGGAGTGTGGTAGTGGAGCATGTGGTGAGTCTCACTGAGAGATTGAGGACTTGCTTCTAACTTTACTTTTCTACCTGTTGTGTGTGTTTGTGTGTGTGTTTTACTGGGTATTATATTTAGAATTGATTGTTTGCTTAGAGTTTAAGTGAGTGTTGCTGATTTTCTTTTGAGTGCGCAATACCAGTGTTTCGGCCAGTTGGCGTACAAGTTGCCGAAATGGACTTCACTAAACTTATGAGACAACATGGTTTTAAGATCGAGGAGTGTAGTCTGGTGTTGGGTGAAATTTTGGGTCAAAGCAGCATTAAATCTGCTGCTCAGACAAATAGCGCAGTGGTGATCTTTGTTGACAGTATGGAGAAGGCAAAATGTAATTTAAAAGTGTAATTTGGTGAATTATATTTTTTTTGTCAGTTTCTCCTTTAAGCATGCCAGCTAAGTCCATATTGCAACATTCCTCTGTTTATCAGCAATAAATCTCTGCAATAAATCTTTATAGATCTTTATAGCTTTTAAAAGACTTTTAATAACTTCTGGACTAGTCAATCCAGAGTTTCTGAGGAGTTCATCAAGGAGCTGGGGGAGCCTCTAACATTAAAAGAAGTTTATACTGCTTTACAAAGTATGCCAGTAAGGAAGGCCTCCAGCATAGATGGACTCCCATTTGAATTTAATAAAGCTTTTTGGTCTGACCTTTGTGATGATATCATGGAGGTAGTTGAGAAGGGCTTTGCTGAAGTTTTTTTTTTGCCTCAGAGCTACATGAGAGCTGTTCTAACATTCTTACTAGGGGTGGGGGAAAAAATCGATACTGTGTAGTATCGTGATATTTTGTTTGCTAATAATGTATCGATACAGGGACAGCAGAAATCGATATTTTGTTACAAACAATTTTTTCTCTGAAGTCAACATGCTCTGACTCCAGAGCATGTTGACTTCATGTTGACTTTTTTTATTTAATGTAAAATTATATATTTTTAAATTTACTTTCAAATTCTTCAGTTGCTGAAGGGGCTGCATAGTTTTCATAAATTGCATAGTTCAGAATATCTATAATTGTACCAGATGGTTGCATTCAGTTAAGTTGGACTAGACTAATACAAACCGTTCAGTTTGTCAACAATAAAACTGACTGAGATGAGAGAAAGACTGAGTGTGAGACTTTATCAATATTCATTTTATCTAATATCAAAGTTTACCTTTATGTGCAGAATTTAAATATCGCAAAATATTTAAAAAAAAAATCGCAATAATATCGTATCGTGCGTTAAGTATTGTGATAATATCGTATCGTGAGTTGTATGGTGATTCCCACCTCTAATTCTTACCAAAGAAAGGTGATCTCCACTATATTAAGGACTGGTGGCCTGTCTCTTTATTGTGCACTGATTATAATGTGCACTGTCAAAAGTGCTGGCAAACAGACCGAAGAAGGTGATGAATCATGTTGTCCACTGAACACAAACCTACGGCGTGCCAGGCAGGTCTATTGTTGATAATGTGTCACTAGTCAAAGATATTTTGGAGGTCTCAAGCTCATTGTGATGTCATATTGTTGGGGTCCCACAACTTCCAGGTGGTTTGAAATGGAAAAGAGGATGTTTGAAGTATCTGGGTGTGTAACGGGGACATGAAGACACACTAAACAAGAATTGAGGGGAAGTTAGGGAAGTGGAGATGGTTGTTACCGCAGATGTCATATAAAGGCAGGGTGCCTATTATAAATATATTATAAACTAAGTTTGTTTTTTATTGTGGCATAGATTAACTTGTTTAGAGCCCCCTTCCTTATTATTAAATAAATTCAGTCTTTGATGATCAAGTTTTTTTGGGATAACTGACATTGGATATCCCAGGCTGTGCTTTTTTTGCACAAAGAAAAAGGTGGACAAGGACTAGTTCACCTAGAGAGCAGAACTGCAGCTTTCAGAATGCAGATAATTCAGAAATACCTGATGGGAAGGGAAGAACATGTTTTCAGGAAACCAGTAACTAGTGTTTTGTAAGAAGAATGGGAGAGTTGGGAATGGATAATTTTATGAAATTGTAATTTGATCTCATCTTCTTATTAAATGCCAATGTTTTATAACAGCCTTTTTAAAGCTTGGACCATTTTCAAATGGTCATTTTACTGGTTAAATATTAAAGCTGAATTTCTGTTTTATTCATTGGTGGATCATTTGACAGATTTTTTCTCTCAGTTGTGTTTTAATAATGTGGTCTGTTCTTTTGTCGATGGTCAATATTATTTCAACCATGTGTTTTTTGACTGCTTTTTTATTTTGTTAAAAAAAAAAACTTGTGATGTCCTCATATTTATTTATTAAGAAATAAATGTGTGGTTAAAATCCAATCGTTCTTTCTTTCAATTCAATTAAATTCTATTCAATTTTAACAGTTGCCTCGAGGTGCTTTAATTTGAAAAGTATTGTAAAGTAAAGACTGTACAATAATAGGTTAATAATAATATCATGATGTCAGTGAGAGCAGCAGCCCCCGTCACCAGTTTCTGAAGTATTTTGTCAGTAAATTAGCTAAAAGGTAGATATAGGACACCAATACAGCTGGTTTCAAACAGTCGTTGAACATGGGGGCACATTTACACTACATTATCTACTTTACTTAGAAGGAGGAGACATGGTCAGTGATGCCTGGCTGTATAATTATGAACCTACAAATGCATGTACTTTCCTTTTCTTACAATGCATACCTTCTAATGCGGGAAGTTGATTGTAGCATATTCCAGAGGGATTTCTGCATGTCTTCATGCATGATCTTCCACAAGGCTTATAGTGCCATTCACACTGTCCATCAGGGTTGTAATAATCACAGAATACAGCTAATAAAACAAAAATAATAAATCATAAATAACAATGAACTCGATTTTACATTAAACCTTATTTGTAAACTTAGCTCATGCTGACAGTTATTATTATACTTTGCATTTTATATGTATCTTGTCACAGAAAAATAAAAAAAAACGCTCACGGCAGATGGTGGGAGTTCTCCATTTCACGCACACTCCTGCCTCATTACAGGCTGCTGCATAAGCTGCTACAGCTGAACAGAAACATTCACAATCTCCTCCTGAATTACAGGCACACGTGTCTCTCACACAGGCATCAAAATATTGTTGGGGATCCACCTTTTTGGAATAAGTAATTGTAAATGTAAGTAAAGAGTGACTTTGGTCCATTATAGCCTAAACGTTTACTTACATTCATAAACACTTACCTTTGAATAGCAGGCCTCAAATACTGCACTCTTGATAATGCTGCAGTGCTTCACTGCCCATGCCTGTCTGTGTGAGTACAGTGTACATGCATCCTTTGGAGTTTGTGCACTTGAGCAGCTAGGTGACACTTGCCAGCTGTTTCCGAATATAAGGGGATCAACCACAACTTCTTTATTTCTGGTAGTGAAATCATTCTTGATATTTCCATCAAAATTTCCACACAGACCGCAGACTTTGCCCTAAGAAAAGAACAAGTTTGTTTATATCTCTCTATCTCTCTCTCTATCTATATATGTGTATGTGTGTATGTGTGTGTGTGCTCACAGACCTTGAATGTAGATCTGAGTTTTATCATGAGGGTTGTCTTTTTATCCCAAATGACAATAAGGCCATTCTTCGCTTCAATGACGAGATATAAACCCAAAGTGTGGACTTGATAGGGTATTTCTTCCCCACTGTTTTTTTTTAAAACTTTGATATGTTCATCTGAGAGACGAATTTCACTGTTCTGTTAAAAACAAAACATGCTAATTGGGAATTGTGAAAAACGATGTGACCATTTAGGAACATTAATACGTATGGATTTGCAACAATTGTAGACCAGATTACAGTACCCAGCAAAAGGTTAATATTTAATTTTTTGCCATGCTTAATTTTCAAAAATAGAACAGGGCTCATGTTGAAACACACAGTCCAACTCACTATATTAACGACAACACTGTGTACCCTGTTTCTTTTTCAAAAAACCCATTTTCTCATATAGTGATTATAATAATGAGGTAATAGCATAGCATAGCATAGCATCTTTATTTATGACGCACTTTACATCCAACAATGTTGACCAAAGTGCTACAAATATAAAACAGAGAGGAAACAGTTTAAATTACATATAAAATATCTTAAAATTAAAAATAATATAATTAATAAGAAACATATTAAGAGACATCAACAAGTCCTGCTATGCTAAAAGCCAAGGTAAATAAATATGTTTTAAGACGTGATTTAAAAACAGATAAGGAAGGTGCCTGTAATGCATAATTATTAATTATTAAGGTATCTATCTTTTTAAAAAAACAACTTGTAAATGCAATTTCTGTTCATATTTACATACCCCTAAATAGAGCGTGATGTCAAAGGAGCAGACGCTTTCAGCATTTTCGCAGGGGATGCTCTCAGTCAGTACCTGAAAGGTGCCGTTCTCACCTCCACAGGAATCCTGCAGGATTCTCATGTCAGTATCACAGGACTGATTTTAACAGGTCATAAAGATTAAACGTAAGTGCAGACTGTACCTGGGTGAAGATGTAGCTACAGCCTCCACTAAAGGCAAATCTTGATTCATCAAAAGTGATGTAATTCCCTGCTCCATAAATGGTACAGGTTCCACCACAGTCTTGACCTGTACATTCCCATATGCTGCTTTTGCATGTGCTTAGATTTGAAAAAGGAAGTTAAATCTTGTTAAATAACTATTCTCAAAGCCCCCCCCCCCCCCCCCCAAAAAAAGTTTCAGTGATGTGAAAAACATGCTTGGGGACACCAGAGTTTGAGTATTATTTAGTGTGTTTTTAAAATATACTCTTTATTTAAACAGAGTTGATGGATTGGTAAATAACAGGAAATTGTTAGAAAAAACCCCAAGAAAAACAAAAAAAGCCCTCACCATGTATTGCAGTCCACTTTAACAGATTGTCCATGTGTATAGTATTGTCCATTATATGGGCAGGGGCAGTCCTCCTGCTTTACACAGCCTCCATTATTATCTGATAGCAGGCCATCAGGACATACACATCCTGAGATACACTCTGTGCTGATCTGTGCAGGATAACAGAGACATATTTCATCAATATGCTTAATAACTGATTATGCTGTTGTAATGTCCATGTGTGGCAGTTATGAATCAGCTTCTCAGTCTTACACATTGTTTGTTCAGTGTCTGGCAGCTTTTTTGGCACTCAGATCCCTTTTCTCCCGGCTTTGCATTTGAGCAGTTGAGGAAAACCATTGGGCTTGTGCATGCTGAGAACAATGACAGTGTCTTTAAAAGGACACAACTGTATGGTTGTATTTACTTATACTTTGCTTTTCAGTAGAAATAACCATTTAATGAACAGTAATTAAGTACTTTGTACCTACTTTGAATCACTTGTTTTCCTGAACAGGTTAATTCTCCACCATAGCAAGAGCTGAAACATAAATGAAGATAGGCAAGACAAAGAAAAGAGATGCATTGTATCAGTTCAATGAAATAACAAGGTATCAATTGCAGCTGTGTGTATTCAGGTTAAACATTCCTGGGACAACTTCACTTGGTGATACTTGGGCATGTCACAACCTGAACCACATCAGTGAAGCAATAAAGTTCTTTGATAATGAAACTTGAATTTGCCAGAATCTTAACTTCTTTGCACATTTGCATAGGCCCTGAGAGTTAAGTGAGTCCACTTGCTGAATGAAATGAGTTATTTGTTTTGTAACAGGGTTAAAAACAAAGAAGCCAAACACGCATGCCCTGCCCCTGCCTAAAAATAGCTATCAAATAAAACTACCAAAGTGAAAGCAATTTCTCTTTCATTTCATCTCAAACAATGTTCTTTTTTAACTTTTCTTATTTATTTGCACTCGTCCTTTAAATTACTGCCATCTTTTGTTGACAAGTGTGTCTAGCATGCTTGTTTTGATTCACATTGGACTGTGTGGCATGTCTCCATTTTCTGAGTGTGTCCATGTCCACTTCACAGTGGCTTCAGTTTGTTACTTAATGTATAATTTGCCAATAATACAGTTTTATTTTACATCTCACAATAATATCAATAGTTATCAAGCTGGACTATTTGACAAGATTATTTGAAATGGTGCACAATGGTGTTTTTAGGACCCTCAAGGCTAACTACTGTAAAGCAAAAAACTCGTATTTAATTGACTTTGCTTCACCCTATCAAAACCCACACGTTTGCATTGCTATGGCCCAATGTCAACTTGAAACGATGTTACATCCAACTGGATTCAATGGTTACTAGCAATGTTCCTTCTAAGAGTGTGTGTAATCGCACACTGCTGGCACGGTCTCCGCACACAGAAAATCTGTGTTGTGCACCAAAAAAATCTAACCTGAATTGGAATTAAAACAATTTATTCTGTTTTGCAGTGTGAGTCAGTAAGTGGCTGCTCCAGTCAATGATGGGAGCAAAAACAAAACTAACCCCGCCCCATCCTTTCCTATTGGTGTACATTTGTCCACCACCAATCTAAAAATGTTGGCAGCATGACATTTAGATGTTTAGGAAGGGGGGAAGTTTTAGGAGTGACGGCGGGGTTTGGAGATGTGAGAGATTTACGATGTTTCGTGTGTTTGGAGTCTGAAGTTAATGTGTTGTGTAGTTAGTGTGTAGTGTAGTCACTAGTTTTGTTGTGTGTGTCAGAACAATGAGGCGACTGCTGAATGTTGCAGGTGTTACAGGAGTGATACATCTCCTGTTGCCAGGTCTGCAGGCTTGTGATGTTCACCTTTATCTCATAGTGGACAAAAATTATTTTTGGAGTGGCACAAATACTTTGTGTGGCATCAGATTTGATGCAGAACAGTTGATTGTTCTGTAAATAGTTTGAAATGTTTTTTTTGTTTTTTTTAAAAAACGCCTTGACTGCATTTTTAGGTAAATAACTGCAAAAAATTTAGTTGTTTGCAAAACTCATTTTTTTGAAGAAGTAACTATATAATTAATTGCTCAACATTGGTCATCATATACTGTATTTTACAGACAGAGAGTTACAAGACTCTCCCTCAGACCACAGACTCATACTCATAATACAGTCAGAGCTTTATTTAAAATAAAAAATAAAAAATTGTGTTTTCAAAATTGGAGTTCAAGTTATTTTTTACTTCCAATAGTGTTAACATACTACACAGGTCTTGAACAAGATTTTTTTTTAAATTTTCATTTTAAGTGGATTAAAGCACTTAATTAAAAGTCGTCCAACATAAATGTAAATGCTGTAATTTGATTACTTTAATAAACCATGTAACTTGGATGGATTCAATGATGTGCACACGTCTAATGTTGCTTATGGTGGTCCAAGGGACCGCTCAGAGAGTTTGTGTGTTTGCTCAGACACATAAAAAATTAGAAGGAACATTGGTTACTAGTACCTGGTTTCAGAGTATCAAATATCTTGCCCCATGAAAAATGGACATGGAAAAAAATTTAAAATAGAAATGTAACAAGTTTACAGTTTTTGTCTCATATATTGGCCACAATTTCACTCCACTTTAGGCAGACTTTTGTAGGGCAAAGTACAACCAATCAATCGCATACTCTTCTACAAGTATAAAGGCACCAAAAAAACATCTTGGCAAGCACAAGTGCAGTACTTCACAGCATACTAAATTATTGGTGTTTTCTCTTCCCTTGTTCTTATCTACTTTATGTTGACCATCAAACATCATCAAAACACAAAATAAATAAATAACTAAATTAATGAATTAATAAAAATACAGAATATATGGAAAAACATACCAAATCTGTCCATTACTGAGTGTAGTAACCTGCCCGGGATGCACCACTGTGTCTCCAGCGTAACAGGAACATTGTGAGGGTAACACACACTCGTTCTTCTCATTTAGATAAGTTCCTTCAGCACAGCCACAGCCATCAAGCTCAGTAAAATCAACCCCACATGTTAAATCTGACTGACTAAGAGAGCGACAGGTGCGACCGCAGCTTGTCATTTTGTAGTCATACACAAAAGTAGGTGGGCAGTCATTTGTGTATTTCTCTGTTGGAAGAAAAAAGGACCCTTTACAGTTTAAACAGAGACAGATATGATTTATTGTAGTAGATAATTTCATTTAAACTTACGGCATGTGTTGTTCCTCCATCCAGTCAATAATACGCCTTCAATAGCACATGCATGAACATAGGCGGATAAAGCAGCACACAAGCAATCCTCACTTTTTTCACAGGCACAGGTGTCATAAATACAATTCTGCGAAGAGAAACAGCAAAAAGCTTAATCATCAGTTAAAGCTAATAAATAATTAAAATAAAAACATACACTTGATTACAAAAAAGAAGAAATCCCTGCTTACAAGTTGATACTCTACTGGGTGTACCACAGGATGGCACGGTGAAAAAACACCTTTTGGGTCTGACAGCTGGGAGCACCAGTGTTTGGCATATTCCTCTACAGAAAGAAACAGGTTTACTTAAAAAGTGATAAGCCATCAACAAAACATAGAGCATGATGACTGTGACCTACCCTTTTCTGTACTCAAACTACAGGGGTCCCCGAGTATATTTGTCACGTCAGGGCAGTTTGACTTGGTTTTCCATGTGTTGGCAAATGTCCAAGCTGTTTTTTCAATTATACCGGAGGTTGTTTTGAAGTCCTGTGATCCATCGTTATCAAAATCTCCACACAGACCTGGATAAAGATGATCATGGTGTAACATAACAATCTTCACACTTTAAACTTAATCCCAAAACCAATCAAAATCCAAACCCACCGACGAGTTTTCCTTTATTAGATACACTGGCTTTGATGTAGACCTGCATAACAGGTGTGAGCTGAATCTCAACATCAAGCCCGTAGGTGGTTTGCATTACAAGAAAGAATGTAGATGGGTGGAAAATTGTGATATCATCTGTAAAGGGAAATATATTTTATATGTATATATTTTCAAATTAAATGATGAGACTCATTTAAATGTTGAGATTTCATTCACTAAAAGATAAACAAGTGCTCACCCAAAAAGAGAGGAAGCTGAGTGAGCAGTGTGTGGTAAAAGACCTGCCCACTGGCATCAATTTTAACAATCTATAGGACAAAGTATATTACTATATCAGAAAAGCCATCTGAACCATTGGAAAACAAAATAAACTGGATAAAAATATACACATATTTTACCACATGATCTGACAGTAGTAGAGTGATTGAAGCCAGACAAGTTGATTTATCAGATTTTTCACATTTAGCCAAGTCGCCTTGAAGGCTGAAAGTCCCTTTGATTTCCTAAAATTGAAAAGTCAAAAATGCACTTACACATGTAGTTTACATGTATAATACATGTTTGTGAATAATAACAATAAAAATAATATAAAAAACAAAAGAAAGTTATTTTCTGTTTCACCTCACCTTTGTCAGAACATAAGAACACTCTCCGTGAAACATATACGTTTTATCGTCATAGGTGGTGATGTGAGAGCCACCCAGGATGGAACAAACACCAGGGCAGTCTTTAAGATTACAGATCCACTCACCATTTTTGCAGGTGCTGTTAAACAGAGGTCCGTCAGTTCATCTTCATAAACCAGTGTGAATATAGATATGAAGTTATAAATGATACAGTTACCAGCTCTTGCATGGCCCGGAGTAGGATTGCCCCGGTTGGTATATTTCTCCATTATGCAGGCAGCTGCAGTTGTCAACAGTGATGCACCCAGTATGTGTGACATCATCCAACACAGTCCCTTTGGAAACAGATAGTTTTATGATAATACACAAAATCACCATTAGGTCTGATGGGTATGTCATCGGCACATTTTGAGGCCCCAAATGTTCCTATTTTTTAACATAGATGTCCTCACTTTCCTCACTTTCCCAATGGGCTAAAAAGACCTAAGAAGAAATTTTCTTAGATTTCACTGTGGTAAACGTTGCAACCCAGGATGGCAACATTTGATCAAATATTATCCAATTTAGCTTCACAAATACACTATAGAGTGTCAAAAGGAAAAATAATACATTTAAAGAATAAAAGTGATAACCTAAGAATTATAATAGTGAATACATACTAGCCCCAATTTAAAAAAAAAAAGAAAGAATATTATCCTCTAGAAGCTACAAAACTTACCAAATGGACAGAAACATCCATCAACACAGTGTTCACTACACACTTGGTTTGTGCCCTGGTTTTTGCAAGTGTCCATGCAGGGATTACCACATTCCTTATACTCCAGGTTGAAGGGGCATGATTTTCCTTTTAAGCACACAAAAGTTAGAATTAAAATTAATAAACAAGTAATTGTGATGTTAGCAGTGGCAGTCCTAGCCTGTTTGGCGCCTTGGGCGAACACTTCTTGTCCATTTCCATTGGTTTTAATTTTGTACTCCAGTATGAACACCCATCCCTCAACCCAAGGATCACCACAACATGATCTAACACACCTACACCTTAGTTCACAGATTCACTTTGTCTAGGGTGCATTTATGAGATTTCAGAAATTTTTAAATTGTTATTGATCCCTTTACCTCTAGTCCTAAAATGTAGATTTATTTTCTTACTCTTCTTATATTTATTGTTTGTTTACTTGCACTGCTGTAACTGGAGCCTCGTCGTCTCGTCTCTCTATATACTGGACTGTATGTAGTGGAGATGGCAATAAAGTTTACTTTGACTTCAGCAGCAAGGAGGCGCACCGAGGGCTCTCGCGCTCACTTTTTGTGTATAGAATTTCGAAAAAATATCGGTGCAAATTATAAGTCTGTATCATAATGTCTGGTGTTTTCGTGTTTGTTGGTTTGTTTTTATTTTGTTTTATTTTGCGAGTTGGTTATTAGATGCTGCTCCAGCCGGTCACAGAATCACCCGCCCTCCCCTCTCTGCACAGCAAGCAGCAGGAAGGGCGCCCTTTCTCCCAGCAAATGGGCAATAGAAAACCAATCGGTGCCTATGCCATTCCCAATAAGCGCTGGCTGACGTCAGGGCAGCATGAGTACGAGCATTTTTTTTTTTTTTGCCGGTGCCCGTGATGCCGCCCCCCGCCACGATGCCGCCCCGGGCAACCGCCCGTATCGCCCGTATCTGAAACCGCTACTGGATGTTAGTACAGTGAAAACAACAAATCCCCTTGTTTATGTTCTTACCACAGAAATCTGGGTTCTTCCACTGCCCTGGTGTCCCGCCTGCATGAGCACACTGACGGGAGTACTCTGACATGGTCGCACACACACAAGACGTATCATTGCTGACACAGGAGCACAGATCTTCCTTACAGGCGTCAATGAAGGACTCGGTTTCAATCAGGCCTTGACAACTGTCAAATGCACTTTCAGTCTTCAGTTTCTGGCAGAGATCTTCCTGTTGGTCAAAGATTATTATGCATTTAATATCATGCATTTAAATATATGTAAGATACTTCCAAGCAAAAATAATTTGACATACCGGAACTTCACATGACTCTTTAGCTTTAAAGGACGTGGTCTCACAATTGTCAGACAGACCACTGATTTTCCACTTGTCCCCATATTCTTCAATACAGTAAGAAGCCCCTGTATCTAATAGGAAATTATGTTTTAGCAAGTGTGATCACTGAATTGGATTGTAGTCTTCTTTAAGCTTTAGGATTTAGTTCTTACCTGAATTTGTGAACTCATTATTCAGTTCATTGAAGTCACCACACAGACCACAAGTTTGATTTCTGAATTTTGCATCCAGTTCAACCTTAAAACCATTTCAAAAATTAGATATGAATTAAATGCAGAAATAAAGATGAAATCTATAATTACTATTTGAATAATACAGTGCAGTGAGGAATACTCTGGTAAAGCTGCTTTTTACCTGTGCTAAAGGTAATATTAATTAAAAAACTCAACATTTCTGTAGCAATACACGACACACACAGTGTGTTTAAATCATATAGCACACTTTGGTAGTTATTTGTTCACTATAATATACAGTTTATTTACTATAATCTGCAGTATATGAGATTTATTTGTATCAAGCACAAAATCCACTTAGCTTTCTTTAGTAATTATAATCAGCATAATTTATTTATTATAGATTACTTCAGAAACATTAGTGGCGTCGAACACAGTAGGTAAAAAGCATACCCAGAGGGAGTCTTCTTGATTCCACATTAAGACCAATCCCAGCTTTGCCTGAACTTTAACATAGGATGCAATGCTTTCTACTGAAATGCCACCCCGACTGAAGGGTATTTTAGCACTATAAGGAATAAAAAAATAATCATCATAGTTAGATTAAATATTAATCGTCTATTAAACCAGTGCATCAGCTGTCAATGAAAAATCACATTTGTAAGACAGACTCACGGTTCATTGTTGATTTTGATGAATCCATTGCCTAATTCCACAACTTCACCATCCAGTTTCATTGTGACTTTCTTTATGGTGGTAACCATATCGGACTCCTGTCGTTGGAGCTCAATGTTGAAACTGTTGTAGTCTGCCTTACACTGGGATGCAAAGATGTAGCTGCAAGTGGATGGAAGCCTGAACAAATTCCCATCAAATGTCTTAAAGTGGTAGTTTCCCCATGTGCTGCAGAACTGGTTGTTGTGAGATGGGCTCACTACTATTTTGAAAGAAAATAAGTCATTACACTAGTGTAATGGTTAATCATTTATTTATTCATTGCGTTATTTTGTCTCTGAAAAAAAAATTACCTGTAATTACTGGAATTTTTCCAGTGTCCTGAACCGTGACTTAAAAAGAAGAAAAAGAAGAAAAAAGTTATAACACCTACATATCGTCATTATGTCAGAAGACAAATATGACTTGTACTTGAGTTCTGTTCATCTTAATGTAACACAAAACAGAAGGAAAAAAAAGCTGAAATAATTAAAGTTTCATCTTCACACAGTCATGGATACCACTCTCTTTGTGTTACAATAGACTACATACCAATGGTGGCTGCTGATAGGCCAAGGCAAAGGCTGAGCCATGGTATCACCCATTCTAGCTGCATGCTGGCTGACCTCATGGCTTTGAGCAATCCCTGTCCAGAGAGAGGGAAAGGTGCACCAACTGATACCTCACCGAAAGGGCCGTGTAATATAGTTCATTTGATGTTTGCAGTTTAGGAGGAGCAGAAGATGCATCCTGGGTGTTCACCTTTTTGTCTACATTAAAATCACACCCATGAAGTGTCTTATAACAACATTTCATCTTCATCTGTTTGAGTCATGATATATTTTGTCACTCCCTCTCTCATGCTCCATACCTCAGTTTTAATGGTAATCTTGGACAAACATCAACATTATAAAGAAAAATATTTTAAACTGAATTGTCATACAGTTTGTTTGTTTTTATTATGGAACACTTTCAGGACAGATTTTCATGAGAACGACACATTGTCAAACAAGGATTGCATGCTTTTCTCACGTCATTGTCAGAAAGACCAGCCCAGAGAATTTAAACTGTGGGTTGGCCTCTGTATCTTTCATTGACATAAGTAAATTTGCTGATGTAAAATACATCTATGAATCACTGAATCATACTTTGAGTAAACATTTGTCAAAGATGTGTAGATATGAAAGGGTTTACACACTAAGACAGTCTGCTTTGTCTTACCAGGTAACTTTATTCACATTTAAGTTAAGATTTAACTACATGATGGGATGTATATGTAATCAGCATAAGTAGCTTTGGATTAACATACAGCAAATGCTCAAAAAGTGAGATGATGAGACTGATGTAATTCTGAGGCTTTGCCAATATTTTTACATTGCCAAATATCATCAGTTATCATGATAACAGCACTATTTTCTGTGTAGTTTGCTCAACAAGTGTAACATTTGGTTTAATGTCTCACAGCCCCAAGAAGATAGATTCTACTAACTTTAGGTACATTTTAACTTCCCCAGATGTAACTATAACAATTTAATGGTACTGTTTTAAAACAGTCTCATTAGGACTCAACTTTGTGCAAGTAATTAAATTTTAGCTTGCTGACACATTAAACTAAGATAGTGAACTTCAAATAATCTGTATTATACCTTTGAAACAAGATGGAGTTAACATAACCACTATGCACTAGCATGTAAGTTGTGCTCTTTGTGTATGCTCATGCTCATGTCAGTTAGGCATTTACAGTGTTTCTGTGAAGCAGAAAAATAAACCTCACATAGAAACTTCAGAAATAGTTATAGTTTTAAATTAGTCAGTTAGTTTTTTTTACACGTTGTTTTGAGTGTAATAAAAATGTTGAGATAGAACCTTTGGTATAGCAAAAAGGAATTGCTTTTAATAGTTATAAATATAAAGATAAAACCTAATTAATACAGAAAATACAATTACCTAGCAGTGTGTGTATATAAAATAGAATCTTCTCGATAGATGCAATGTTTCTAGTAAAGATATCTAAACAATGATACTAGCACTTCTGTCTTAACAGGCAAACGAAGGAACCTCAATGATGAAAACATGGGGGACTGAAAAGTGGAAGTGCCCTTAAGTCCACATTCTATTTAATGGCCAGTAAGGGGGCAATAACTGTGGCTGAAAAATGATTGTAGGTTTTAGAAACAGTTATTGGAAAATGGCTCTCAGCCCTGGCTCCTATAGAAACATTCCAAATGTGTTTATGGGTTTGGTCATTTATTTTGGGTCATATTGAATATTGCGGGTAAATTATAGTGATATTTAAGGTATCAAAAAGTTAAGGTTATTCAAGTATTCTCTTAATTTTGTTACACAGTCGTTTGCATGTGTATTGTGTGTGTGTGTGTGTGTGTGTGTGTGTGTGTGTATATATATATATATATATATAAAAAAAAAACACCCAGCACGCCCCTGCGGGCGGTTTATCCTTCAAGCTCGGGTCCTCTACCAGAGGCCTGGGAGCTTGAGGGTCCTGCGCAGTATCTTAGCTGTTCCCAGGACTGCGCTCTTCTGGACAGAGATCTCCGATGTTGTTCCCGGGATCTGCTGGAGCCACTCGCCTAGCTTGGGAGTCACCGCACCTAGTGCTCCGATTACCACGGGGACCACCGTTACCTTCACCCTCCACATCCTCTCGAGCTCTTCTCTGAGCCCTTGGTATTTCTCCAGCTTCTCGTGTTCCTTCTTCCTGATATTGCTGTCATTCGGAACTGCTACATCGATCACTACGGCCGTCTTCTTCTGTTTGTCTACCACCACTATGTCCGGTTGGTTAGCCACCACCATTTTGTCCGTCTGTATCTGGAAGTCCCACAGGATCTTAGCTCGGTCATTCTCCACCACCCTTGGGGGCATCTCCCATTTTGACCTCGGGACTTCCAGGTTATACTTGGCACAGATGTTCCTGTACACTATGCCGGCCACTTGGTTATGGCGTTCCATGTATGCCTTGCCTGCTAGCATCTTGCACCCTGCTGTTATGTGCTGGATTGTCTCTGGGGCATCTTTACACAGCCTGCACCTGGGGTCTTGCCTGGTGTGATAGACCCCAGCCTCTATGGATCTTGTGCTCAGAGCTTGTTCTTGTGCTGCCATGATTAGTGCCTCTGTGCTGTCTTTCAGTCCAGCTTTGTCCAGCCACTGGTAGGATTTCTGGATATCAGCCACCTCCTCTATCTGCTGGTGGTACATACCGTGCAGGGGCCTGTCCTTCCATGCTGGTTCCTCGTCTCCCTCCTCTTTCTTGGGTTTCTGCTGCCTGAGGTATTCACTGAGCACTCGGTCAGTTGGGGCCATCTTCCCAATGTATTCTTGGATGTTCGTTGTCTCATCCTGGACTGTGGTGCTGACACTCACCAGTCCCCGGCCCCCTTCCTTCCGCTTAGCGTACAGCCTCAGGGTGCTGGATTTGGGGTGAAACCCTCCATGCATGGTAAGGAGCTTTCTTGTCTTTATGTCAGTGGCTTCTATCTCCTCCTTTGGCCAGCCTATTACCCCAGCAGGGTACCTGATCACGGGCAGGGCGTACGTGTTGATGGCCCGGATCTTGTTCTTACCATTCAGCTGACTCCTCAGGACTTGCCTGACCCTCTGCAGGTACTTGGTGGTTGCAGCTTTTCTAGCGGCCTCTTCATGGTTCCCATTCGCCTGCGGGATCCCCAAGTACTTGTAACTGTCCTCTATGTCTGCAATGTTGCCTTCTGGTAGTTCAATCCCCTCAGTTCTGACTACCTTCCCTCTCTTTGTTACCATCCGACTACACTTCTCCAGTCCGAACGACATTCCAATGTCATTGCTGTATAGCCTGGTAGTGTGGATCAGTGAATCGATGTCTCGTTCACTCTTGGCATACAGCTTGATGTCATCCATGTACAGGAGGTGGCTGACAACTGCTCCGTTCCGTAGTCGGTATCCGTAGCCAGTCTTGTTAATGATCTCACTGAGGGGGTTCAGGCCTATGCAGAACAGCAGTGGGGACAGAGCATCTCCTTGGTAGATCCCGCACTTGATGGTGACTTGTGCTATGGGCTTGGAGTTGGCCTCTAGTGTTGTACGCCACATCCCCATTGAGTTCCTGATGAAGGTTCTTAGGGTCCCATTGATCTTGTACAATTCTAGGCATTCCAGTATCCAGCTGTGGGGCATTGAGTCATAGGCCTTCTTGTAATCAATCCAGGCAGTGCACAGGTTGGTCAGTCTGGTCTTGCAGTCTCGGCTGATTGTTCTGTCTACCAGTAGCTGGTGTTTTGCGCCTCTGGTATTCTTGCCAATTCCTTTCTGTGTCCCGCTCATGTATTGACCCATGTTCATCTTAGCCGATATGATGCCTGACAGGAGCTTCCATGTAGTACTGAGGCAGGTTATTGGTCGGTAGTTGGAGGGGACCGGTCCCTTCTTGGGGTCCTTGGGGATCAGGACCGTCCGGCCTTCAGTTAGCCATTCCGGGTGTCTCTCGTTAACTAGCAGCTGGTTCATTTGTGTTGCCAGACGCTCGTGGAGTGCAGTCAGCTTCTTCAGCCAGTAGGCGTGAACCATGTCGGGCCCTGGTGCTGTCCAACTCTTCATACTGGAGACCCTTTCTTGGATATCTGCCACTGTGATGGTTACTGGACCCTGTTCAGGGAGGTCGCTGTGGTCAGCCCTCAGATCCTCTAGCCACTGAGCATTGCCGTTATGGGTTGCATCCTTCTCCCATATGCTCTTCCAGTATTGCTCCGTCTCCAGCCTTGGTGGTGCTGTTCTCTTATTGTTCCCTTGCCACTGAGAGTTGGTTTATTCTCCTGCCTTCTATCTCTCTGGTGTACCTCCTCAAGCGGCTGGCCAAGGCTGTGAGTCTTTGCTTGGCAGTTTCCAAGGCCTCAGGTATGGACAGCTTGCTGTATTTCTTAGGCACCTTATTTGTCGCACCTTTCTGCAACTCCGTTAGTTGGCTAACCTCCCTCCGTGCTACTTTGATCTTGCCCTCTAGCCTCCTTCTCCATGGAGGGTACTGCTCCTTGTCGCTGTTCAACTTGTAGCCAAGCATCTCACTGATCACTGTTGCCGTACTGTAGATCAGCTTGTTAGTGTCGGTAATCGTGGTTGTAGGTATTGCCCGTAGTGCTGCATTAACATCATCTAGCAGACCTTCTGAGGGTACTTCACGTAATCTTGGTAACCGGCTACGGGGGATCGAGGTTTCAAGCTTGGCCATGATCCTATTTTTCAGGTCAGTTCCTCTCGCACTCAACGATCCTTCTCCTATCGCACTTGGGGCTATGTACCCAATCTACTTGAATAACCTTAACTTTTTGATACCTTAAATATTTGAATATTGAATTTTTTTTTTTTGGTTTGCTTTTTGTAATACAAAGCAATATACTTCTCCATGTTGAAAATATTACAGGGTAATTTGTTCTCTTTGCAGTAGCATATTTAAAGGAAACCATGCAAAACTGGGAGATAGATAAATAAAGGACTGTTTTATCATTAAACTTGGCAAAAACAATTCCAATTTCTGTCATACATGGTTAAGTGGCATATACAAGACACTGAAAACAATGACACATGAACTGAGTTGCATCCTTTTTATTGAATCAATGTTCATAAATGCTCTCCTTATATTGGCATTTATTTTGTAGACATTTAATGATTGCTTTAATAATATGGGAGGAAACGTGTTCCTCATACACAGACTGGCTTATCACAGCAGTGTGAAGCTTCGCTTCCTGCGAATATGTTGTCCAGCAGCTGCGGTGCATTCTGTGTTGGTACAACCACACTCCTCCACATACATGTATGTGTAGGGGACCGTGTCTCCATTTGGGCAGACCAGGTCTACAGTGCGATTGCTGAAGCATGTCTCCTTACAGCAGGAACAAGAATGCTGCATGACTGCTGCTTCTTTAGAGTACCTGAATACAGAAGAGGATGGGTTTAATCAATACTGAAACTATATAATAGTATTTTTTAAAACGTTTCAGAGGAAATTATTTTAAAGATTATCCTTACATGGTATAAGTGTTGCAGGATCCTTCGCAATATGGCATATCTACCTCCTGGGCAGACGTACAGTTGTTGTGTGTAATATTGGTTTTCATGGACATGAACTTGCATGCCTTCTCCTTCTCTGCGCCTTTTCAAAAAAGATGCACAGTTAGCCTATTTTAATTTAAGTATCTTAACCTAAAACAAACTCAAATGTTATACTCACAAATTTTACAACAGCCGTTTGCTGCAGTTTGAATTGTCCCCTAAGAAGGAAAATATACAACAACGACTAAATACAAGAAAATATACAGCAACAAAAGTTGTTCAACTTCTGTTCACACAGATGAATGCAAACAAGATGAATAATGAGAAAATGGATACTTACAGGCTGACAGCTGCTCTCATTGAATACTGGGCAGACTGTGTGTGAAGTGCTTGTTGTTAAAATCTCACCATTCTTAACACAGGTATACTCATCACACCTATTCTCAGTTGGTGACCAGGTTTCTCCTTGCTGAAGATAATTGAGAGAGATATATATGTACACACACATATTTATTTAAACATAAATAAACATAAGCATGTGGCCTTGCAGCCAACTTACAGACAAGAGTTGCTTGGATCCGTTAATATTGACAACACAGTGTGTCTGCACACACTTCCCGCAGCACTCATCTGAATCAGTTTTTACATATTCATATCCCTGAAAGACAAAGAGAGGGGGCACATTTTGGTTGCCAAGTGCAATATAACAAAGCTACATCTACACTACACTGATATTGTTTAAACTGGGTGTTTCTTACCATGTCACACGTTTTGTTACATTCCTGATCCTTACAGCTTATTACAGTAGAATTTTGTTCAGCCTCACAGGTACACTCCTGACATACAGACCCAGGAACTGAAGAACCAGGCTAGCAGATAAACAGAAAATAGCCGTACAGAATTATGTGCAGTAGAAATCCTTAAAGGTAAAAAAGGTGGCCAATCATTTGCTTCTTATTTACCTGGTATTCAGTCTCATTCCGAACACAAACCTTTTTAGGTTCTAGGAAAAAGTAAAAAATGACTAAAGATAAGTGAAAGTGCTAATTTTGTCATTAGGTTATGCATCAATTTAAACTGCAGTCTTTAGTTTACCACATCTAAGTTCTGGACAGCATTTTCCCTTAGGAATACTGACAACTGGCTTTTTTCCAATTGAACAGGTCACATCTATGTCTGGGCAACCGCCAGGTTTACACTCTGTGGAGATGATAAAACATTTATTCAGAGTCAAGAATTAACATGAGCTAACAGTCATCTAAACACATTAAACACACGATTGCCTTGATGCTACAAGTCTTACGGCAAACAGGGGTAGAACAGCAGGGATCTGATGGATCAGTTTGGTTGATGAGGACAAATCCATCATCAGAGCATTCTGTTATGTTTGGTTTTGGGCACTCCTTAGGCTTGCAAGTCACAGTCTTTGTGGATTCTTCACAGGTGCACTTCTGGCATTTGAGCTCAAATCTTTCATTGAACTGAAAGTCATATAGAAAGTAATATATAATACTGTGGTTTCATTTGATATGTCACATTTGTCTCTTGCAGCTAAGTAAAGGTTAGGATTTTAACTGAACATGAAATTAAGACTTTGCTCACCTCACGAGAATTACCCTCAGGATCAAGACATCCTGTTGAAACAAAATTATTTAATCTTAATTGTAATTAATTCCAAACATAATCATTCATTCACTGCTTGCAGTAAAGCGATTTCTTATATTACAAGTCACTTAGAATTTCCTCCACACGTATAGATCCACACATATAGATCACAAGCATCACAATGTGTATTCACTGAAATGATACAACCCGGGCAATTATACCAAACTTACCACATGTTTTCACACATATGTTGGACTGTCTGCTGAAAAGTTTCATTCCATCAGGACAAAAACAGCCCTCAGCAGTAAAGTTCATGGTGGGTTCGTAAGAACTAAAATATTCAGACAGTGAGAAAAAGCATTAGCCCTTTTGACTATAATGGATTTTCAAGGCAAATAACACAAACTGTTTCCCATTGCTGGGAGGACCAAAACAAAAAACAAAAAAAAACACATGGCAGGGCTCCAGTTTGATCTATTAGTTGCACCAGAAAAAATGTGACCAACAATCAGGCATTTCTAAATCTGGTAAATCTTAACACTAGAATTGCACCAGCTTAAAAAAAATAGAATAAATAACTCATACTGTGACCCCTCCCAGTTGTACCGGAACTGAACATGTGCAAGTGGCATCTGCATGTTTGATATTCATGTGTTTCAACATCCCAAGTTTATTTCTTACATTTGTTCTTGTTGGTCATTAGCTGATATTTTACATTTCTGTGTAATGTCTTTAAAGTTGTCCGATCCTTCATGATAGTTAACAGGTCTGACAGCAGTTTAGGATAGCCTATCGGGTGTTTTTCTCTCTGCATTTGTTTTTCACTGCAAGTGTAAAGTATTTACTAAAATATTTATACACTAAATTGCAACACTGTTTGTGAAACCTCACTGTCACAGCAACTATGGAATTTGTACACCTTTGAAAATCTATAAATACAATATAGAGGCATGAGCAGTTTTACTGGTTGATTTGAGCCCCACATAATAAAGATTCTTCTTTTTGTTTATTGTCCTTCAGTCATGTTAACCATCTCTAGACCCAACAGTCTTAGCTAATTATAGGCCAATCTCCAACTTTTCTTTCATATCAAAAAACCTTGAGAGAGTAGTTGTCAAACAGCTAAGAGATCATTTGCAGAGGAATGGCTTATTTGAAGAGTTTCAGTCAGGTTTCAGAGCTCATCACAGCACAGAAACAGCTTTAGTGAAGGTTACAAATGATCTTCTTATGGCCTCTGACAGTGGACTCATCTCTGTGCTTGTCCTGCTAGCTTAGTGCAGCGTTTGATACTGTTGACCATAATATCCTATTAGAGCGATTAGAACATGCTGTAGGTATTACAGGTACTGCGCTGCAGTGGTTTGTATCATATCTATCTAATAGATTCCAATTTGTACATTTAAATGGAGAGTCCTCTTCACACACTAAGGTCAATTATGGTGTTCCACAGGGCTCAGTGCTAGGACCAATTCGGTTAACATTATACATGCTTCCCTTAGGCAGTAACATTAGAAAACATAGCATACATTTTCACTGCTATGCAGATGACACCCAACTCTGTCCATGAAGCCAGATAACACACACCAATTAGTTAAACTGCAGGAATGTCTTAAAGACATAAAGACCTGGATGGCCGCTAACTTTCTGCTTCTTAATTCGGATAAAACTGAGGTTATTTTACTCGGAGCTGAAAATCTTAGAAATATGGTATCTAACCAGATTCTTACTCTGGGCGGCATTACCTTGGTCTCCAGTAACGCTGTGAGGAACCTTGGAGTCATTTTTGACCAGGACATGTCCTTCAACGCACATATTAAACAGATATGTAAGACTGCTTTCTTCCATTTGCGCAAAATCTCTAAAGTTAGAAATAACCCGTCTCAGATTGACGCTGAAAAACTAGTTCAAGCATTTATTACTTCCAGGCTGGACTACTGCAAAAAGTAGAATGGGAGGGAGAGCCTTCAGTATTCAGTCCCCTCTTCTGTGGAACCAGCTTCCAGTTTGGATTCAGGAGACAGACACTATCTCTACTTTCAAGATTAGGCTTAAAAGTTTCCTTTTTGCTAAAGCATATAGTTAGGGCTGGACCAGGTGACCCTGAATCCTCCCTTAGTTGTGCTGCAATAGACGTAGGCTGCCGGGGATTCCCATGATGCATTGAGTTTTTTCTTTCCAGTCACCTTTCTCACTCAGTATGTGTTAATAGACCTCTCTGCATTGAACTATATCTGTTATTAACCTCTGTCTCTCTTCCACAGCATGTCTATTATCCTGTCTTCCTTCTCTCACCCCAACCGGTCGCAGCAGATGGCCGCCCCTCCCTGAGCCTGGTTATGCTGGAGGTTTCTTCCTGTTAAAAGGGAGTTTTTCCTTCCCACTGTCGCCAAAGTGCTTGCTCATAGGGGGTCATATGATTGTTGGGTTTTTCTCTGTACCTATGAAGCGCCTTGAGGCAACTTTTGTTGTGATTTGGCGCTATATAAATAAAATTGAACTGAATTGAATTGAATGTTGTAATACAAATATGTTTACATCTGCATCTTACATTCATGTAACCTCACTGTGTGTAGCATAACATTATTTGAAATGGCATCACAGTGTTTATTATCCTCTGATTAAGAGCAGCGTTGCTCAAAATGTGACATACCTTTTTGCTTCCTTTTGCTAGCTTCTGCCCATTTTTGTGTGGATCTGCCTGTAGTTTCTTAGTTAGTTTAGGTAATATAAAAAGGCAAAAAAAAAAGGTCTGACGACTCAGTGAGTAATAAATGTCATGTTGAAGACCATGACACAAGAAAAAAAAGGAATCAGTGATAGCAGTAACCTAAAAGCGTTGCATCATTCAAACACATTAGTGTGTCAATCCCACTATGAGAAGACTAAATTCAACCTGGAAAGCTGTTCCCAATCTAATGTACCCTGTATTTTTAAACTAAGGGGTCTTTAACAAATGTATAAAATGCATAAATAAATACATATATTTAGTGGCAGAGTGTTGTTTCTGCTTAACTGCAAGAGGAGACGTGAAGCAGAGTGATTTAGGGAGCAGTGTCAGGTCGGATTTGACTGGCACAAATTTACTAATCATGCCAGTCTTTGTAGTTGACTTATGAGGAAATAACTTGTTAGGTGGCTGCTAGGAAGCACGATGATATACGATGATGACATATCATGCATAATTAATGCCTTCATTTAATATCTATAAATTAAATTTTACTTTTTGTCCCTTCCACAATTTCCTACTTACTGTGTCAAATGTTTAACTGCTCCTCAACCTCCTTTAATAATGACAATACTTGTAATAAGTGTAGCTAGACAGGCCCCTGAAAGTAGTTTAACCACTATTAGCTTTCCCCCAACAGATTGTCCAGAGCAGTTGAGAAAACAGGACAACCCATTTACGTTTCAAATCGTTTTACCTCACTTGGAAACAAACCTTTTGACAAACAGAAGACAGAGATACCTTGAAACCATTGTCTTCCAGGGGCCAAACTGAAGAAACGCTGAAACTACGGATAAACACTGATTTTGTAAAATGATAATTCATGGCAACATTCATGTTTACATTTACAATTATGGATCATATAGCAGTGGGAATATATTTCATTATTGCAGATGTATTTCTGAAGGAGTTGTAAAGCATATAGCATATAATTCCTCCACTTCTTCAGTGCCATGTGCCAACCCAGTGCAAAGCAGCTACCTAAATTCCTCTCACAGAGGCCCATTATCTTGTTAGTGATGTTATGTCTTCACTGTATATGATAGCTTTGGGAGAATTTCGTTCTCCACGAGCTTCACCTACACCCCCCCGCCGCTACTGCTCGCCTGCTCACTTCAACGGAGGACGTGCCGTCCGAACCGCCGGATGAGGGATTACCCGGCCTGTCGGAGCCGTCTCCAAGAAAGAAGCGACGTTTGCGCCGTCGGCGTGGCACCCCACAGCCGGATGTCGGGACATGTAAACAATCGGCTGTGGTGAGTGAAAGGGACACTTTTTCTGCTGCGTCAGACTCTGTGACTGTGTTTTCTGGAGCTATTGTTTGTGTGTCTTCTGAAGATAACAATAATTTTTCTGTCTCACCCATGGCCACTGCTTCAAAGACTGTTTCTCTTGAGCCTACGCTCTGTGTTAATGACTGTTTCCATTCTGTTTCCAAGCCTGGTATTATGAATTTAGACAATGAAAATGTTTGGGACCCTTTTTCACCTGCACTGATTCATTCAGGGGAAGTTGTAAACCTCACCAAAACAGTTTTTCCTGATCATGTTCTCCCATCCACACTTTCACCACAGTTTAACGTTGGGTCTGCAATTCAGTTAACGGTTCAATCAGCAGCTGCGCTGCCCTCAGTTCAGTCAGCAGCCGCGCTGCCCTCAGTTCAGTCAGCAGCCGCGCTGCCCTCCGTTCAGTCAGCAGCCTCCGTTCAGTCAGCAGCCGCGCTGCCCTCCGTTCAGTCAGCCACTCCACCACTCATTACGACTCCACTACAATCGTCTCCGCTACCTGTAGGTCAGTCTGTAGCCGCTTCGCTGCCTATTGCTCTGTCGCCACCAGTTCAGCTGTCTGCCCGCTCATTTACTCAGCCACCATCCTCACTGTCTCATTTAAAGCAGGGAACACACTTCACCACAATATCTGCTGGTTCTCTTAAGCTGGCCATGTCAGAGACAGTTGCTCCCTCTAGGGCCTCCCCAGAGACTGGGTGTCAGTCACCAGCTAACTCTGGACCCCTAGAGGTCAAGACGCCAGCGCCAGCAGCCTCACCGGAGAACTCACCAGAACAGTCTCAGCTCTCAGCACCCCCTGAGAGTTCAAGTGAGTTCACCCGTCTGCCTCCGTCCTCTGCTGAGTGTATTGGGGAACACTTTCAGCCCTCTGAGGACTGCATCCCACTGTTGCTGCCTGAGTCTAGCCACTGTGCTGCTCAGTCCCAGCCAGTGTCCACACTGGCGGAGGTCTCCGTACCTGCTGCTTCAGTGTCTGTTTCCACCGGAGGGCCAGAGGAGCCCGTCCAGTCTCAAGCCATGTTAGCTGGGGTTTCGGGAGAACCCAGCCAGCCTCAAGTGTCGTCAGCTGGGGGTTCGGGAGAACCCAGCCAGCCTCAAGTGTCGTCAGCTGGGGGTTCGGGAGAACCCAGCCAGCCTCAAGTGTCGTCTGCTGGAGGGCCCGAGTCGCTCGTCCAGCCTCAAGTGTCGTCTGCTGGAGGGCCCGAGTCACCCGTCCAGCCTCAAGTGTCGTCTGCTGGTGGGCCCGAGTCACCCGTCCAGCCTCAAGTGTCGTCTGCTGGAGGGCCCGAGTCGCCCGTCCAGCTTCAAGCCAAGTCAGCTGGTGGGTCCGAGGAGCCCGTCCAGCACCACGCCTCATTTGCTGGGGGTCCTGGAGTACCCAGCAAGCACATCCTCACGTCTGCTGACGGTCCGGGGAAGTTTGTTCAGCCACCACCTGCTGAATCATCCCCTGTGACTTCTACACCGTTGCCTGCATCCACATCACCTCCTGCAGCATCACCGCCTGCAGGTGTCCGGCTGCCTTCAGGTTCCGCAGCCGTCCCGCTGCCGTCAGGTTCCACAGCCGTCCCGCTGCCGTCAGGTTCCGCAGCCGTCCCGCTGCCGTCAGGTCCAGCTTCGCCTTCGTCTTCGTCTGGTCCAGCTCCGCCTCCGCCTGATCCAGCTTCAGCTCCGCCTTCGTCTGGTCCAGCTTCAGCTCCGCCTTCGTCTGGTCCTGCCTCGTCTGGTCCTGCCTCGTCTGGTCCTGCGGTTGCAACACTGCCGTCAGAGCCCGCTCGGCGTATTCTGCCTCACCTCTGGCGATTTTTTTTCCAGGCCTCTAAGTTGGCTTCATGGCCATTGTGGACGGCCTCCGGAAAGAGTTCGTCGCCGCCGCTGGCATCGCAGCCGACCTCCAGACCTGCTCAGTGGCCACCACTGCCTTCCAAGTGGTCGGCCTCCCGATTGGTTTTGCCTGCGCCGTGGCCGTGTGCACGGTCGGCCTCCAGAACTGTTTGCCCGTCGCCGCCGTTGCCATGTGCACGGTCGGCCCCCTGAACTTTTCATGGACTCTTGTTGAGCTCTGATTTGGTTTTGTTTTTGATCTGTTTTCCTGTGTTCTTGGACTGTTTTCTTGTGTGTTTGGACTCTTGTGCTCCTTGTTTTTTGTTTCGGACCCTCCTTCCTGGACCCCCTCCGCCCGCCTTGGTCTGGTGCTCTTTTTTTTTGTTTTGGGCTGTCGGGACACAGCCCTTGGCGGGTCGGTACTGTCACGGTTCTGGGTCAGTTTGACCCAGTATTTTGAGTTGTCATGTTTTTGCAGGTTTAGTTTAGTTCCATGTGTCATTTTCTGTCTGTCTCTCTATGTCGAGTCTGCGTCTTAGTGTGATGGTTTCTTGTTCCTGTTTTATTGTGAAGGTCTGCTTCTCATGTGAGTGTGTTCAGTTTTACCTCTGTCTCGTCTTGTTGATTATTCCCAGCTGTGTCCACCACCTGTGTGTAATTCCCCTGTGTTTCTCTGTGTATTTAAGTCGTGTCCTCTGTCATTGTAGTTGCTGGTCCGTCTGTGTATTCACCATGTTTCATCCGTGTGTTCCCTGCTGTCTACCATCGTCTGCCTCTGCTCGCCCTCCATGTTCATGTTCTGGTTTCTGCACTGTAGTTCAGTTGTTTTCCAGTATAGTTTCATTTGTCTTCGTTTGCCATTTTTCCTTTGCCATTTATTCAATAAACCACCTTCACACCTTCACGACTGCCTGCGCTTGGATCCTCCTTCATTTCTTCCACACGGCTCTTCTCACTCGCCGTGACACATACATCCATCTCTGCATCATCTATCGTATTGCAAATAACCCTCTGTTGCGGCTTACCTCTTGAGCCACAACCACCCTCAAGTACTTGATGTAATCCCTGGTTGCTCCAATCTCTATGCCAAATTATCCTTAATCAAAATACTTAACTGAAGTTGCCTATGGTGTGTTTATCAGAGTGTGTGTGAATGTTAGAAAAGAAAACACTTAGATGCAGAAAAGGAATGTGTGTTTGAATGAGTCATATTTACTTGAGTACTGAGTGCAAGTGTTTTTGATTATTTTATCTGAGCTGAGGACTAAATCTGTTTAAAAAGTCAGAATTCTGATAGGAACTCTGAGTAAGGCCCAAGTTGATGATGGGTTTTAATCAGTAACACTGTAAGGAAACTTGGAGTCACTTTGACCAGGAAATGTGTAGAACTACTTTATTGTCCTCGAACCATTCTTTAGATTTGCTGCAGCAGGAATAGTCTGCTTGTTGGCTTTGCATTATACCACAAGTGTCTCTTGCTTACTGAACTGTTTTCACTCTCTCTGTGTTTATATACCACTCTGCATTTAATCATAGTTTTTATTAATCTCTGACTCTCGTCCACAGCACATCTTTTGTCCTGTCTCCCTCTCTTCACCCCCTAGCTGAATGAGGCAAATGTTGTTTTGCCATAAGCCAGCAAAACTACAGAGGGTCTTCTCTGTATAATATTAGGGTCGTTACCTTAAAATTTAAAGTGCCTTGAGGCAAATATTTTTTTTAGATTTTGTGCTATGTAAATTGAATTGACTATGACCCTACGAGCCATTGGAAACTAATACAAATGCTTACATAAACTTTATAAGAATTATTTTAGAGCTGTGCATTTTCCAAAGTCTTAGATGTTTTATTTATTTTTAAAGCATTTCCTCTAATAAAAACATTCAGGAGTCACTCTGAAATTTGTTTCAGTTTTCAAGATTAAGGATATTTTTCTAATTTGTTGCTTGACACTTTACACACATGCCTTTTCCATTACAACTTACTTGTCTTCACAGGTTGGCTGATCTGCAGGACCACAAGGCTGATAAACTTGGTGTGATGGGCAGTGACTGGCTGTTTGTGAAATATAAAAACAAATCTTTTTTAAATATACATCCTGTTAAACCAATTTGTTAAATAACATGTACTGTAGACTGTTTTATCTCCTAAATACTATAGGATAACAAAAAAATTCCTCAAACAAGCCAATGAAATTACAATTAAATATCGCAAGCTTTCTTACCACACCACTTTTCTGTTTTAGTGTGGTTCCTCCAGTAAACACAAACTCCAGCACGAGCACAGGCTGCTGCATAAGTTTGCAAACTTGTGCACAGCACTTCTGTTTTGTTAACATTGCTGCTATCAAAAATGCAACCCTTGTAGAAATTATATGGCGATATAATAGGATGGCACTTTGCAAAGAGACTGTAAAAAAGAAAAGAAAAATATTGTGTTTTAAATGCAAACGGAATGGAGATAATCTGGCAGAATAGATTGGATAATGTCTACCTGCTATTAAGCAGCTCACAAACGCCTGTTTTGTATAGAGGTGGTGGTTCTTGTGCACTTGTAGATTTTGTAGGCGGTACAGTGCAATTGCCTTGGCCAATATCTTTTGCAGTCCAGTTGTCAGCCATCGCTGCAAAACTTTCAGCAAGCTGACCTCCAGGCAATATGCAGTCATCACTCGGGTTATTGTTACATGTTCCTGACAGTAATTATAATACAATTAATATAGAGGTTTACCTCAAACCAAGGGCTACTCGAGAGAGAGAGAGTTCTTACCACAATGACCCTTGGTATTATTGCCGAAGTTTTTATATGGAAGATTAACACTGAAGCCAGTTCCTCCAAATGTAATGACCACTTCTAGTGAAGGGATCTCCAAAACCAAGTCAAATCCTGAATTCATGACTGTAACACCATTTTGTGAATAGGGCAGCTTCAGACGTACTCCATTTTTCAGTGCCTATCAGTGCCATGAAAAAAAAGGTTGAATACTCAAAATTAACAATGAGTGCTTCTATTTGTTGTTCTCTTATCTTTGAATGACTTTAGGCAAATATGAATACTGTATACAAATACTGTATAACTGCCGGTGCAAGAAAGATCAAAGCAACAATAGAGAATCACTGGTCCTTGCTTTACCTCCAAATTTGATCTTCCAGTAAGGTTATGATTTGTCAAATTGAAAATTTGCGATCCATTTAAAATAATTATAGATCGAAGACGGGAAACATCTTCAGTGGAATCAAACACATTATCAATGTAAATCCTTAAGTGATGCCTTGGATTAATTTCTTGCATTAAAACATAAGTGCAGTTTCCTTGATAATTGTAATAGAAGCCATCAAATGTAATGTAATGATGATTGCCCCATCCTTTGCATTCACCTGGAAAAAGAGGGCAAAAAATTAAAATATGAAATTGATTAAAAAAACAAAACAAACATATGTCATTAAAAAAACAAAAAAACAAAAACAAAAGCACTAACCAAATTTACAAAAAAAGACTCACAATCACAAGCGTAATGTTGACAGCACTGGAACTTGTCATATAGAAGAACTGGTTTCTTTCCATTGCTGCAAGTTATGTTTTCAATGGGTGAACAGTGATGAGGAAGTATTTGAAATGTGTTGTTGTCAAGGGATATGGCCTTAGTGCAGTTGCAAAAAGGATGAAACTCTTGTCCCTGGTACAAATTGGGGGGGGGGGGGGGGATGTTGAGAAAACACGATTGCAAAACCAGAGAAAGTACATGGCTGTAAAATTATAAAATAAGGTTCAATCATACCTTTGTAACATGAGTGGTAGAATGCATGGTGGATTTTGGTGTTCCAGTTATAATCCTAGTATTTGTTGGAGAAGTTGAAATTGTAGTTGGTGTTTCAGTTGTGTTTGTAGAATGAATTGGTGTTGTTGATGTAGGAGTAGTAGTTGGTGTTTCAGTTGTAGTTATAGAATAGGGTGGTGTTGTTGTAGTAAAACCTGTTGTTGTAGTAGGTGTTCCAGGTGTAGTTGTAGAATGAGTCGGTGTTGTTGTAGTAGAACCTGTTGTTGTAGTCTGAGTTGTAGTTGTAGAATGAGTTGGTGTTGTAGTCGGTGTTCCACTTGTAGTTGTAGAATGAGTTGGTGTTGTAGTTGGTATTCCAGTTGTGGTTGTAGAATGAGTTGGTGTTGTAGTTGGTGTTCCAGTTGTGGTTGTAGAATGAGTTGGTGTTGTTGTAGTAAAACCTGTTGTTGTAGTCGTTGTTGTAGTTGTAGAATGAGTTGGTGTTGTAGTCGGTGTTCCACTTGTAGTTGTAGAATGAGTTGGTGTTGTAGTCGGTGTTCCACTTGTAGTTGTAGAATGAGTTGGTGTTGTTGTAGTAAAACCTGTTGTTGTAGTCCAGCTTGTAGTTGTAGATTGAGTTGGTGGTGTAGTCGGTGTTCCAGTTGTTGTTGTAGAATGAGTTGGTGTTGTTGTAGTCATTGTTGTAGTTGTAGAATGAGTTGGTGTTGTAGTCGGTGTTCCACTTGTAGTTGTAGAATGAGTTGGTGTTGTAGTCGGTGTTCCACTTGTAGTTGTAGAATGAGTTGGTGTTGTAGTCGGTGTTCCAGTTGTGGTTGTAGAATGAGTTGGTGTTGTTGTAGTAAAACCTGTTGTTGTAATCGTTGTTGTAGTTGTAGAATGAGTTGGTGTTGTAGTCGGTGTTCCACTTGTAGTTGTAGAATGAGTTGGTGTTGTAGTCGGTGTTCCGCTTGTAGTTGTAGAATGAGTTGGTGTTGTTGTAGTCCAGCTTGTAGTTGTAGAATGAGTTGGTGTTGTTGTAGTAAAACCTGTTGTTGTAGTCCAGCTTGTAGTTGTAGAATGAGTTGGTGTTGTAGTCGGTGTTCCACTTGTTCTTGTAGAATGAGTTGTTGTTGTTGTAGTCGTTGTTGTAGTTGTAGAATGAGTTGGTGTTGTAGTCGGTGTTCCACTTGTAGTTGTAGAATGAGTTGGTGTTGTAGTCGGTGTTCCACTTGTAGTTGTAGAATGAGTTGGTGTTGTAGTCGGTGTTCCAGTTGTGGTTGTAGAATGAGTTGGTGTTGTTGTAGTAAAACCTGTTGTTGTAGTTGTTGTTGTAGTTGTAGAATGAGTTGGTGTTGTAGACGGTGTTCCACTTGTAGTTGTAGAATGAGTTGGTGTTGTAGTCGGTGTTCCAGTTGTGGTTGTAGAATGAGTTGGTGTTGTTGTAGTAAAAGCTGTTGTTGTAGTTGTTGTTGTAGTTGTAGAATGAGTTGGTGTTGTAGTCGGTGTTCCACTTGTAGTTGTAGAATGAGTTGGTGTTGTAGTCGGTGTTCCACTTGTAGTTGTAGAATGAGTTGGTGTTGTTGTAGTAAAACCTGTTGTTGTAGTCCAGCTTGTAGTTGTAGAATGAGTTGGTGTTGTAGTCGGTGTTCCAGTTGTGGTTGTAGAATGAGTTGGTGTTGTTGTAGTAAAACCTGTTGTTGTAGTCGTTGTTGTAGTTGTAGAATGAGTTGGTGTTGTAGTCGGTGTTCCACTTGTAGTTGTAGAATGAGTTGGTGTTGTTGTAGTAAAACCTGTTGTTGTAGTCCAGCTTGTAGTTGTAGATTGAGTTGGTGTTGTAGTCGGTGTTCCAGTTGTTGTTGTAGAATGAGTTGGTGTTGTTGTAGTCATTGTTGTAGTTGTAGAATGAGTTGGTGTAGTCGGTGTTCCACTTGTAGTTGTAGAATGAGTTGGTGTTGTAGTCGGTGTTCCAGTTGTAGTTGTAGAATGAGTTGGTGTTGTTGTAGTAAAACCTGTTGTTGTAGTCGTTGTTGTAGTTGTAGAATGAGTTGGTGTCGTAGTCGGTGTTCCACTTGTAGTTGTAGAATGAGTTGGTGTTGTAGTCGGTGTTCCACTTGTAGTTGTAGAATGAGTTGGTGTTGTTGTAGTAAAACCTGTTGTTGTAGTCCAGCTTGTAGTTGTAGATTGAGTTGGTGTTGTAGTCGGTGTTCCAGTTGTTGTTGTAGAATGAGTTGGTGTTGTTGTAGTCATTGTTGTAGTTGTAGAATGAGTTCGTGTTGTAGTCGGTGTTCCACTTGTAGTTGTAGAATGAGTTGGTGTTGTAGTCGGTGTTCCAGTTGTGGTTGTAGAATGAGTTGGTGTTGTAGTCGGTGTTCCAGTTGTGGTTGTAGAATGAGTTGGTGTTGTTGTAGTAAAACCTGTTGTTGTAGTTGTTGTTGTAGTTGTAGAATGAGTTGGTGTTGTAGACGGTGTTCCACTTGTAGTTGTAGAATGAGTTGGTGTTGTAGTCGGTGTTCCAGTTGTGGTTGTAGAATGAGTTGGTGTCGTAGTCGGTGTTCCACTTGTAGTTGTAGAATGAGTTGGTGTTGTAGTCGGTGTTCCACTTGTAGTTGTAGAATGAGTTGGTGTTGTTGTAGTAAAACCTGTTGTTGTAGTCCAGCTTGTAGTTGTAGATTGAGTTGGTGTTGTAGTCGGTGTTCCAGTTGTTGTTGTAGAATGAGTTGGTGTTGTTGTAGTCATTGTTGTAGTTGTAGAATGAGTTGGTGTTGTAGTCGGTGTTCCACTTGTAGTTGTAGAATGAGTTGGTGTTGTAGTCGGTGTTCCACTTGTAGTTGTAGAATGAGTTGGTGTTGTTGTAGTCATTGTTGTAGTTGTAGAATGAGTTGGTGTTGTAGTCGGTGTTCCAGTTGTGGTTGTAGAATGAGTTGGTGTTGTAGTCGGTGTTCCAGTTGTGGTTGTAGAATGAGTTGGTGTTGTTGTAGTAAAACCTGTTGTTGTAGTTGTTGTTGTAGTTGTAGAATGAGTTGGTGTTGTAGACGGTGTTCCACTTGTAGTTGTAGAATGAGTTGGTGTTGTAGTCGGTGTTCCAGTTGTGGTTGTAGAATGAGTTGGTGTTGTTGTAGTAAAAGCTGTTGTTGTAGTTGTTGTTGTAGTTGTAGAATGAGTTGGTGTTGTAGTCGGTGTTCCACTTGTAGTTGTAGAATGAGTTGGTGTTGTAGTCGGTGTTCCACTTGTAGTTGTAGAATGAGTTGGTGTTGTTGTAGTAAAACCTGTTGTTGTAGTCCAGCTTGTAGTTGTAGAATGAGTTGGTGTTGTAGTCGGTGTTCCAGTTGTGGTTGTAGAATGAGTTGGTGTTGTTGTAGTAAAACCTGTTGTTGTAGTCGTTGTTGTAGTTGTAGAATGAGTTGGTGTTGTAGTCGGTGTTCCACTTGTAGTTGTAGAATGAGTTGGTGTTGTAGTCGGTGTTCCACTTGTAGTTGTAGAATGAGTTGGTGTTGTTGTAGTCATTGTTGTAGTTGTAGAATGAGTTGGTGTTGTAGTCGGTGTTCCAGTTGTGATTGTAGAATGAGTTGGTGTTGTAGTCGGTGTTCCAGTTGTGGTTGTAGAATGAGTTGGTGTTGTTGTAGTAAAACCTGTTGTTGTAGTTGTTGTTGTAGTTGTAGAATGAGTTGGTGTTGTAGACGGTGTTCCACTTGTAGTTGTAGAATGAGTTGGTGTTGTAGTCGGTGTTCCAGTTGTGGTTGTAGAATGAGTTGGTGTTGTTGTAGTAAAAGCTGTTGTTGTAGTTGTTGTTGTAGTTGTAGAATGAGTTGGTGTTGTAGTCGGTGTTCCACTTGTAGTTGTAGAATGAGTTGGTGTTGTAGTCGGTGTTCCACTTGTAGTTGTAGAATGAGTTGGTGTTGTTGTAGTAAAACCTGTTGTTGTAGTCCAGCTTGTAGTTGTAGAATGAGTTGGTGTTGTAGTCGGTGTTCCAGTTGTGGTTGTAGAATGAGTTGGTGTTGTTGTAGTAAAACCTGTTGTTGTAGTCGTTGTTGTAGTTGTAGAATGAGTTGGTGTTGTAGTCGGTGTTCCACTTGTAGTTGTAGAATGAGTTGGTGTTGTTGTAGTAAAACCTGTTGTTGTAGTCCAGCTTGTAGTTGTAGATTGAGTTGGTGTTGTAGTCGGTGTTCCAGTTGTTGTTGTAGAATGAGTTGGTGTTGTTGTAGTCATTGTTGTAGTTGTAGAATGAGTCGGTGTTGTAGTCGGTGTTCCAGTTGTGGTTGTAGAATGAGTTGGTGTTGTAGTTGGTGTTCCAGTTGTGGTTGTAGAATGAGTTGGTGTTGTTGTAGTAAAACCTGTTGTTGTAGTCGTTGTTGTAGTTGTAGAATGAGTTGGTGTCGTAGTCGGTGTTCCACTTGTAGTTGTAGAATGAGTTGGTGTTGTAGTCGGTGTTCCACTTGTAGTTGTAGAATGAGTTGGTGTTGTTGTAGTAAAACCTGTTGTTGTAGTCCAGCTTGTAGTTGTAGATTGAGTTGGTGTTGTAGTCGGTGTTCCAGTTGTTGTTGTAGAATGAGTTGGTGTTGTTGTAGTCATTGTTGTAGTTGTAGAATGAGTTGGTGTTGTAGTCGGTGTTCCACTTGTAGTTGTAGAATGAGTTGGTGTTGTAGTCGGTGTTCCACTTGTAGTTGTAGAATGAGTTGGTGTTGTTGTAGTCATTGTTGTAGTTGTAGAATGAGTTGGTGTTGTAGTCGGTGTTCCAGTTGTGATTGTAGAATGAGTTGGTGTTGTAGTCGGTGTTCCAGTTGTGGTTGTAGAATGAGTTGGTGTTGTTGTAGTAAAACCTGTTGTTGTAGTTGTTGTTGTAGTTGTAGAATGAGTTGGTGTTGTAGACGGTGTTCCACTTGTAGTTGTAGAATGAGTTGGTGTTGTAGTCGGTGTTCCAGTTGTGGTTGTAGAATGAGTTGGTGTCGTAGTCGGTGTTCCACTTGTAGTTGTAGAATGAGTTGGTGTTGTAGTCGGTGTTCCACTTGTAGTTGTAGAATGAGTTGGTGTTGTTGTAGTAAAACCTGTTGTTGTAGTCCAGCTTGTAGTTGTAGATTGAGTTGGTGTTGTAGTCGGTGTTCCAGTTGTTGTTGTAGAATGAGTTGGTGTTGTTGTAGTCATTGTTGTAGTTGTAGAATGAGTTGGTGTTGTAGTCGGTGTTCCACTTGTAGTTGTAGAATGAGTTGGTGTTGTAGTCGGTGTTCCACTTGTAGTTGTAGAATGAGTTGGTGTTGTTGTAGTCATTGTTGTAGTTGTAGAATGAGTTGGTGTTGTAGTCGGTGTTCCAGTTGTGGTTGTAGAATGAGTTGGTGTTGTAGTCGGTGTTCCAGTTGTGGTTGTAGAATGAGTTGGTGTTGTTGTAGTAAAACCTGTTGTTGTAGTTGTTGTTGTAGTTGTAGAATGAGTTGGTGTTGTAGACGGTGTTCCACTTGTAGTTGTAGAATGAGTTGGTGTTGTAGTCGGTGTTCCAGTTGTGGTTGTAGAATGAGTTGGTGTTGTTGTAGTAAAAGCTGTTGTTGTAGTTGTTGTTGTAGTTGTAGAATGAGTTGGTGTTGTAGTCGGTGTTCCACTTGTAGTTGTAGAATGAGTTGGTGTTGTAGTCGGTGTTCCACTTGTAGTTGTAGAATGAGTTGGTGTTGTTGTAGTAAAACCTGTTGTTGTAGTCCAGCTTGTAGTTGTAGAATGAGTTGGTGTTGTAGTCGGTGTTCCAGTTGTGGTTGTAGAATGAGTTGGTGTTGTTGTAGTAAAACCTGTTGTTGTAGTCGTTGTTGTAGTTGTAGAATGAGTTGGTGTTGTAGTCGGTGTTCCACTTGTAGTTGTAGAATGAGTTGGTGTTGTTGTAGTAAAACCTGTTGTTGTAGTCCAGCTTGTAGTTGTAGATTGAGTTGGTGTTGTAGTCGGTGTTCCAGTTGTTGTTGTAGAATGAGTTGGTGTTGTTGTAGTCATTGTTGTAGTTGTAGAATGAGTTGGTGTAGTCGGTGTTCCACTTGTAGTTGTAGAATGAGTTCGTGTTGTAGTCGGTGTTCCACTTGTAGTTGTAGAATGAGTTGGTGTTGTAGTCGGTGTTCTAGTTGTGGTTGTAGAATGAGTAGGTGTTGTAGTCGGTGTTCTAGTTGTGGTTGTAGAATGAGTTGGTGTTGTAGTCGGTGTTCCAGTTGTGGTTGTAGAATGAGTTGGTGTTGTTGTAGTCGTTGTTGTAGTTGTAGAATGAGTCGGTGTTGTAGTCGGTGTTCCAGTTGTGGTTGTAGAATGAGTTGGTGTTGTAGTTGGTGTTCCAGTTGTGGTTGTAGAATGAGTTGGTGTTGTTGTAGTAAAACCTGTTGTTGTAGTCGTTGTTGTAGTTGTAGAATGAGTTGGTGTCGTAGTCGGTGTTCCACTTGTAGTTGTAGAATGAGTTGGTGTTGTAGTCGGTGTTCCACTTGTAGTTGTAGAATGAGTTGGTGTTGTTGTAGTAAAACCTGTTGTTGTAGTCCAGCTTGTAGTTGTAGATTGAGTTGGTGTTGTAGTCGGTGTTCCAGTTGTTGTTGTAGAATGAGTTGGTGTTGTTGTAGTCATTGTTGTAGTTGTAGAATGAGTTGGTGTTGTAGTCGGTGTTCCACTTGTAGTTGTAGAATGAGTTGGTGTTGTAGTCGGTGTTCCACTTGTAGTTGTAGAATGAGTTGGTGTTGTTGTAGTCATTGTTGTAGTTGTAGAATGAGTTGGTGTTGTAGTCGGTGTTCCAGTTGTGGTTGTAGAATGAGTTGGTGTTGTAGTCGGTGTTCCAGTTGTGGTTGTAGAATGAGTTGGTGTTGTTGTAGTAAAACCTGTTGTTGTAGTTGTTGTTGTAGTTGTAGAATGAGTTGGTGTTGTAGACGGTGTTCCACTTGTAGTTGTAGAATGAGTTGGTGTTGTAGTCGGTGTTCCAGTTGTGGTTGTAGAATGAGTTGGTGTCGTAGTCGGTGTTCCACTTGTAGTTGTAGAATGAGTTGGTGTTGTAGTCGGTGTTCCACTTGTAGTTGTAGAATGAGTTGGTGTTGTTGTAGTAAAACCTGTTGTTGTAGTCCAGCTTGTAGTTGTAGATTGAGTTGGTGTTGTAGTCGGTGTTCCAGTTGTTGTTGTAGAATGAGTTGGTGTTGTTGTAGTCATTGTTGTAGTTGTAGAATGAGTTGGTGTTGTAGTCGGTGTTCCACTTGTAGTTGTAGAATGAGTTGGTGTTGTAGTCGGTGTTCCACTTGTAGTTGTAGAATGAGTTGGTGTTGTTGTAGTCATTGTTGTAGTTGTAGAATGAGTTGGTGTTGTAGTCGGTGTTCCAGTTGTGGTTGTAGAATGAGTTGGTGTTGTAGTCGGTGTTCCAGTTGTGGTTGTAGAATGAGTTGGTGTTGTTGTAGTAAAACCTGTTGTTGTAGTTGTTGTTGTAGTTGTAGAATGAGTTGGTGTTGTAGACGGTGTTCCACTTGTAGTTGGAGAATGAGTTGGTGTTGTAGTCGGTGTTCCAGTTGTGGTTGTAGAATGAGTTGGTGTTGTTGTAGTAAAAGCTGTTGTTGTAGTTGTTGTTGTAGTTGTAGAATGAGTTGGTGTTGTAGTCGGTGTTCCACTTGTAGTTGTAGAATGAGTTGGTGTTGTAGTCGGTGTTCCACTTGTAGTTGTAGAATGAGTTGGTGTTGTTGTAGTAAAACCTGTTGTTGTAGTCCAGCTTGTAGTTGTAGAATGAGTTGGTGTTGTAGTCGGTGTTCCAGTTGTGGTTGTAGAATGAGTTGGTGTTGTTGTAGTAAAACCTGTTGTTGTAGTCGTTGTTGTAGTTGTAGAATGAGTTGGTGTTGTAGTCGGTGTTCCACTTGTAGTTGTAGAATGAGTTGGTGTTGTTGTAGTAAAACCTGTTGTTGTAGTCCAGCTTGTAGTTGTAGATTGAGTTGGTGTTGTAGTCGGTGTTCCAGTTGTTGTTGTAGAATGAGTTGGTGTTGTTGTAGTCATTGTTGTAGTTGTAGAATGAGTTGGTGTAGTCGGTGTTCCACTTGTAGTTGTAGAATGAGTTGGTGTTGTAGTCGGTGTTCCACTTGTAGTTGTAGAATGAGTTGGTGTTGTAGTCGGTGTTCTAGTTGTGGTTGTAGAATGAGTTGGTGTTGTAGTCGGTGTTCTAGTTGTGGTTGTAGAATGAGTTGGTGTTGTAGTCGGTGTTCCAGTTGTGGTTGTAGAATGAGTTGGTGTTGTTGTAGTAAAACCTGTTGTTGTAGTTGTTGTTGTAGTTGTAGAATGAGTTGGTGTTGTAGACGGTGTTCCACTTGTAGTTGTAGAATGAGTTGGTGTTGTAGTCGGTGTTCCAGTTGTTGTTGTAGAATGAGTTGGTGTTGTTGTAGTAAAAGCTGTTGTTGTAGTTGTTGTTGTAGTTGTAGAATGAGTTGGTGTTGTAGTCGGAGTTCCACTTGTAGTTGTAGAATGAGTTGGTGTTGTAGTCGGTGTTCCACTTGTAGTTGTAGAATGAGTTGGTGTTGTTGTAGTAAAACCTGTTGTTGTAGTCCAGCTTGTAGTTGTAGAATGAGTTGGTGTTGTAGTCGGTGTTCCAGTTGTTGTTGTAGAATGAGTTGGTGTTGTTGTAGTCATTGTTGTAGTTGTAGAATGAGTTGGTGTTGTAGTCGGTGTTCCAGTTGTGGTTGTAGAATGAGTTGGTGTTGTTGTAGTAAAACCTGTTGTTGTAGTCGTTGTTGTAGTTGTAGAATGAGTTGGTGTTGTAGTCGGTGTTCCAGTTGTTGTTGTAGAATGAGTTGGTGTTGTTGTAGTCATTGTTGTAGTTGTAGAATGAGTTGGTGTTGTAGTCGGTGTTCCAGTTGTGGTTGTAGAATGAGTTGGTGTTGTTGTAGTAAAACCTGTTGTTGTAGTCGTTGTTGTAGTTGTAGAATGAGTTGGTGTTGTAGTCGGTGTTCCACTTGTAGTTGTAGAATGAGTTGGTGTTGTAGTCGGTGTTCCACTTGTAGTTGTAGAATGAGTTGGTGTTGTAGTCGGTGTTCCAGTTGTTGTTGTAGAATGAGTTGGTGTTGTTGTAGTCGTTGTTGTAGTTGTAGAATGAGTTGGTGTTGTAGTCGGTGTTCCACTTGTAGTTGTAGAATGAGTTGATGTTGTAGTCGGTGTTCCAGTTGTTGTTGTAGAATGAGTTGGTGTTGTTGTAGTAAAACCTGTTGTTGTAGTCCAGCTTGTAGTTGTAGAATGAGTTGGTGTTGTAGTCGGTGTTCCAGTTGTTGTTGTAGAATGAGTTGGTGTTGTTGTAGTCGTTGTTGTAGTTGTAGAATGAGTTGGTGTTGTAGTCGGTGTTCCAGTTGTGGTTGTAGAATGAGTTGGTGTTGTAGTTGGTGTTCCAGTTGTGGTTGTAGAATGAGTTGGTGTTGTTGTAGTAAAACCTGTTGTTGTTGTTGTAGAATGAGTTGGTGTTGTAGTCAGTGTTCCACTTGTAGTTGTAGAATGAGTTGGTGTTGTAGTCGGTGTTCCACTTGTAGTTGTAGAATGAGTTGGTGTTGTTGTAGTTAAACCTGTTGTTGTAGTCCAGCTTGTAGTTGTAGAATGAGTTGGTGTTGTAGTCGGTGTTCCACTTGTTGTTGTAGAATGAGTTGTTGTTGTAGTTGTTGAGGTTGTTTCACAATGAGTTACACATCTTTGTATGTCCTCATTAAAATACGGCGTGTCTTCTCCACACTCAGGGTAACAACCTGCATTAATGAAAAACAAAAACATTGTGAAGTTACAGCAATTTCATATACTGATTTCGTTTCCTTGTTTTAATTAAAAAGTTCTTGAAATGTAGGACAGTGGTCCAACTAGTGTCACGGTTTCTTAAATAAATGAGTGAAGTGGGGATTGTCTACCTTTTATGTCTTCAGTTCTCACCTTTAACACATTGGAATATATACATATATGCTTACCTTCAAGTTGGTGTATATGAAGGGAGTTCATATCATTAGGACAAATTCCTTCTGGATTGTCACAGGTCTTGAGGCAGTGATTGGAGTTGTTATGAGTGTTGATGGGACACATTTTATAGTGCCATGTGCATTCACCTGGTTTATTGTAGTAATCACAAAATACAGCTAGAAAGAAAAAAAACCAACAGAAATGTGTGTAAATGAAAAATCAAGCTTAAGCCTATTTACTAGATGCTAGTTTTCAATAAATCAAATTAAAATAGAAGACCTGATGTACATTTTTAAAAAATGTTAATTAAGTATGAATCTTATGACCTTATCCCCTCTTAAAAATTGTCAGTGTCATATTTTACAAAAAACCACATACACACAGACACACGCCTTTGGAACTTCAGGTCAGAGGTTCCACTCCTGACCAGGGTATATGAATCTGGTAAGGATCCCTAGCCCTTCCTGTCGTATTCAGGTCGAATCTGACCAATTTAGAAATTTAAAAACTCATAAATATTGTGTTTTATATCTGATTGTCTCAAGGTCTTATAACATCCTCCGCGCTATGCACTTGAACATTTAAAAGTGATGAGGACCTGTTTTGTTGAATTTTGAGTGTTTTAGTCAACTATGTTACATATGTGGTGTTCCATAGAAAATGAATGGCACAGTATGTACCACCGGCAGATAGAGGAACTGGCTGACATCCAGAAATCCTTCCAGTAACAGGACAAAGCTGGACTGAAAAACATGGGAACAAACTCTAAGTATAAGATCCAGAGAGGGAGGGGTCAACCGCACCAGGCAAGACTCCAGGTGCAGGCTGTGTAAAGATGTCGCTGACACAATCTGGCACTTAACAGGAGGATGCTAGCAGGCAGGGGATACATAGAATGTTATAACCAAGTGGCTGGCATAGTATACAGGAACATCTGTGCAGAGTATGGAAGTCCCAAGTTTAAAATGCAGATACAGACAGAAACTGGTGATGGTTAACCAACCCAATGTTGTAATGTGCTAGTGGTTAATCGGAGCACTCAGTGCAGTGATCAGCAAGCTAGGCAAATGGCTCCAGCAGATCCCAGGAACAACATCTGAGATGTCTGTCCAGAAGAGCGCAGTGCTAGGAACAGCTAATATATATACACAGGACCCTAGAGCACCACCTGCAAGACTTTGGGTGCAATGTGTGTTAGGCAGGGCTCAACTCAATGGATGGCTTGGGCACTGGAACCAGTCTCCTGGAGAGGGGCTGGACTCAGTCTGGTGTTGCCCTGAGTGTTAGAGGCGGAGGTGGCTTGCTGAAAGTACGTTGGGGTTTCTCCCGGTGGACGAGAGGGTTTGTTTCCTGTGCCTTCAGGTTGGAGAATGGGTCCTGACTGTTGTCTGTGCTTTTGACTGACGGTTCAGAGTACCCAGTCTTCTTGGAGTCTCTGGGCAGGGTGCTTGAGGGTGCTCCACCTTGGGACTTTGTTGTCCTACTGTGAGACTTCAGTGCTCATGTGGGCAATGCAAGTGAGACCTGGAGGGGCTTGATTGGGAGGAACGACCTCCTGGATCTGATCCCGAGCGGTGTTTTGTTGTTGGACTTCTGTGGAAATCACAATTTGTCCATAACACACATGTTCGAACATAAGAGTGTCCATAAGTGCACGCGGCACCAGGACACCCTAGGCCAGGGGTGGGCAAACTTTTTGATTCGTGGGCCACATTGAGTTCTAACATTTGACAAAGGGGCCGGAACCGGAGCAGATAGATGGCATGCTTTGAAAACATCACCTCATTGGGGGAAAAATACACATCTTGGGATATGGAGAAAACATGTGCTTTAATTTCCAATGAAAATGAAGAAAAGCATTACAATAAAATCTCTGACTTCGAAATGAGTCTTTAAAGACTGAAAATCAAATAAATGAACATTTTATTTTAAAGCACTGAAAGTTCTGTTATCCTTCAGGATATCACATCACTCTCCTCCTGACTCTTTTTTTTTTTTTCCCCCAAAAACGGTAGGAGATGCAGATGTACTTGTCCTGTTCCTTTTATTCAATTTGTTTACCCGGTGCCAAAAGTCAACAACGACCAGTGCAAGAACAAAACAGTTGCAGCAAGTCAGTCTGTGAAGCGTTATATTTGATCTGCGCTCACTGTTCATTTTAACAACGTGCGTATCACGGAGACACACACATTTTAATGGGAGCAGTGTTGTTGGTCTCCTTTTTTAGCCAGCGCATCAAAGTCTGGAGTTAGTTTTCTTGTGGCGATTCTCAGGATGGATCTGAGGTGTAGGTCTGTTAACTTGGATCTGTGGCTGGCTTTGTTGATGTTCATGACGCTGAATGTAAAGCCAACATCATCTGCGCTTTTCGCCTTAGATTTGGAAACGCGGCATCATTGAGTGAAGCATAGAAGTCATTTAGTTTCAGAGAGCTGAACTTCTCTTTTAAGGCAGGGTCGATGAGTTCGAGCTGAAGCTCCTCTGGAGCTGTTTCGGGGTCTTGTAACAGAGGAAAGGCCAGTGACTTGTCAATTTTATCGAAATCCAAAAACCGACGGCAGAATTCTCCGTGCAGTGCATCCAGTGACTCACTGTATTTCTTTACTTTTGCTCCGGCCTCTTTCAGCATGGCTAGTGTAGGAAAATGAGTGAATGACTTGTTCAAAATCTGCCTGGAGAATAAAGCCAGCTTGGATTTGAAGGCTTTCACGTTTGTGTGCATGTCATGCACAAACTGCTCCTTCCCCTGCAGTTTCACGTTGAGCTCATTCAAGTGTGAAAATACGTCCGTAGCAAACGCAAAGTCACACATCCAGCTCTTGTTGCTCAGCTCAGGAAATTCCTCAGTCTTCCCCTGCTGCTCCAAAAACCACGCCAATCTCCTCTTTGAGCTCCCACATTCGTTGAAACACTTTGCCCAAACTCAACCAGCGGACACGGGAGTGATAAAGCAGGTCCTGGTGATCCGCATCAGTTTCCTCCAGGAATGCAATGAACTGACGGTGCTGAAGTCCCCCTGCGCGTATGAAGTTGACAAGTTTCACCACAGGATTCACAACATGATTCAGCTGTAACACCGATTTACATAGAGATTCCTGGTGGAGGATGCAGTGGAGGAAAATGACATCCTGGTCAGGGTTTTCATCTTTGACTTTATTCTGGATTCTCCTCAGCAGGCCAACGTTTTTTCCCGTTAAATTCGGAGATCCATCTGTGGTGACGTTAACAAGCTTACTCCAGGGAAGCTTCATATTTTCGATGGCTGCAGACACCCGTTCAAACAAGTCCTCTCCCCGTGTTTGTCCTTTCAGAGACTCCATTGTCAAAAACTCCTCCGTTATTTCAAAGGTTTCGTTGATTCCTCGGATAAAAATAAGGAGCTGAGTAGTGTCTTTGACATCGTTGCTTTCATCCAGTGCTAAAGAATAAAAAGTGAATGACTTTTTGTTTAATATGCTGGTGATATCTTCATCTATTAGTTTGGCAAGTCACTGTCCACCGTGATAAACTGATTTTCTCAAATTTGTCTTTGGTCTCCGGGCACAAAATACCTGCTGTCTCTACCATACATTCTTTTAAAAACTCGCCCTCTGACAGTGGTTTGCTGGCCTTTGCTATTTTGAATGAAAGCATAAAACTGGCCTTGGTACTTGACTCTTGAATGGCAGTTTGACGGTGAAAAAAACTTTGCTGAGCCTTCAAATTAGCTGCCAACTTCTCAGCAGCAGCTTCCCGTTCTTTTGTTGAGAGCTTGCTAGCATAATTAGCGTGCTTTGTGGCAAAGTGACGGCTAATATTATACTCTTTAAAAACCGCCACAGTTTCTTGGCATATCAAGCAAACAGCAGATGATCGATATTCAGTGAAAAAATATTTAGCTGTCCACTCCTTTTTGAACACTCGACATTATCTGTCAACTTTCATTTTCTTGGGTCCGCTCATCTTCATAGAGGGGCGGTGGGTCACAGGGTAAAGTGCAAACGTGGAGTAATAGGCCTACGCTTCACCTCAAAAAAGGCAATATATCTAGAGTGCGCCATCTAGTGAGGAAACATCAGAATTGCAGGGGAAATAAAACATTAACAAGGTTAATTTATTAATTTTTTTTCAAGTTTGGCGGGCCGGATCAAAATGTTTAACGGGCCGCATGTGGCCCCCGGGCCGTAGTTTGCCCATGCCTGCCCTAGGCCGTAGGTCGATGATCAACTTTGTAATTGTATCACCAGGCCTGTGGCCATATGTTCTGGACACTCAGGTAAAGAGAGGGGCTGAGCTGTCAACTGATCACCACCTGGTGGTGAGTTGGATCAGGTGGTCGGGGAGGATGCTGGACAAAACTGGTGCACCTAAACAGATATAGTAAGGGTGTGCTGGGAACACCTGGCAGAGGCCCCGGACCACAAGATCTTCAACGCACACCTCCGGCAGAGCTTCAACAGCATTGCGAGGGAGACTGGGGACATTGAGTGTAAATGGACCGTGTTCAGCACCTCCATTGCCAAAGCCACTGGACCGAGCTGCAGCTACAAGGTGGTTGGTGCCTGCTGTGGTGATAACTTCCGAACCAAATGGTGAACACCAGAGGTGAAGGGAGCCACCAGACTGAAGTCCTATTGGGCTTGGTTAACCTTGTGGGACTTTGGAGGCAGCTGATAGGTACCATCAGGCTAAGTGGATGTGGCTCAGGCAGTGGATGAAGCAAAAACTCAGGTGTGTTGGAGGATTTTGGAGAGGCCATGGAAAAAGACTTTTGGACTGCTTCGAAGAGGTTCCACATCAAAAGTGGCCAGTTGAGGTAGTTTGGACATCTGATAAGGATGCCTCCTTGGTGAGGTGTTCTGGACATGCCTCACTGGGAGGAGGATCCAGGACAGACCAAGGACACGCTGGGGAGATGTTATCTCTCTGCTGGCCTGGGAACACCTTGATGTCCCTCCTGACAAGCTGGAAGAGGTGGCTGGGGAGAGGGAGGCCTGTGCTTCTGTGCTTAGGCTGCTGCGCCTGTGACACGGCCTCAGATAAGTGGAAGATGATGGATGGATGGCTGGCTGGCTGGCTGGCTGGATGGTTTGTGTGTGTGTTTTCCCATAGTCTATTGCAGGGGTGCCCAATCCCAGTCCTCGAGAGCAACTGTCCTGCAGCTTTTAGATGCATCCTTGTTCCGACACAGCTGAAT